CGCGCTAGCCTAAGGGCCACCTTAGCAAAGCGCATCCCAGGCTGCATAGCCGCACTACCCTACCCAACCATACCACACATAAACATGACACTACCCCCGGGGTTTACACAGACGAGCCGGCGAAGCAAGAAGAGCGCCAGAAGAAAGGGCCCTAGCCGGCGGGGCCCAGCCAGGACAAAAGGAGGTCCCACAAAGCGCCTACACCGGCCGCATTTGCGGTCGGGGTAGACGACGGATGGGGCCCACCTACGAAGGCTGTCCAGGCCTACACGAGATGAGGCAGGATAAAGAGGGATAATCCCCCTCGATCCCAAATCATTGAGGCCAATTTCTAGCCATAGAATAATGGCGCGGCGCACTCATCATATTGAAAGGATTTTCAAAATGAATTATTTTTATTTATTAAAAGATTAATAAAAAGAAAATTCCAGAACAGATTATGTCTAATATTTATTATTAGAGTTTGACATTTTCGTGCGTTGTCAGTAGCGTCCAGTGGCGTAGCCACGGGGTGCTTTAGCCCCCCCTGAAGATCTGTCGCGCCATTTTTATCATAACCGTAGCCGCTAGGCCGCTGCGTCGCCCTGCCTTGGAAAAAGTGGAAATATAAGTCAGCCTCATTCACAGATGCTGCAGTTTTAAAAAATATATATGGAAATAAAAAACGGTGTGAGAAAGATTGAAGCACATTAACAATTCCAAATAAAATACACTGGAGATAATCTGCGCCCAAAAGTAATCATGAAATAAATGATAAAACCATTTACAGACTAACAAATCCTTCTGATTACGATGCCAAGGAAGCTAATAAAAAAATAGAATAAGCCAACAAAAACCATTTTAAATTTGATCAAATGGTACGATTCAATTTTCAATTTAAGCGCAATTTATTGCAAACCTGAGCTTATGCAAACAGCCCTTAAAATCACAGCATAATTCAGAAAATTCTCCCGTCTTCTCTGTCCTTGGACAGAGAAGTGACAATCAGGACCGTATTAATAATTTTTAATTTCTGCGGAATGGTGTAGTAAAGTAAAAAATAATACTACTAAATTTAAGGAATTTATTACTATTTCATGATTTTTTGCTGTAATCACCACGGTAGTTCGCACTTTGTTAGTGGCGTGTTTATATTATAAATAATAGTTTTAGAATCATTTTAGGATCTGTATCATGCGACCGCGTTTACTGTTAAATAAAGTTGGCAAGATTTTCATTTAAGGGGCGCTAAATATCTAATAATTGGTATAACTACATTTTATTATATCAAAATATTAAAGTAGATATGTATTATTATTGATAATTTCCTCAAATCTTTATTTTCCGTTAAGATCCCTACAAATTCCTGTCATTAATGCACCCAACTATATTTTATATTTGTAATATACAAACTTTTGTTATACAGGGTGTTACAAATTACTAGGTTAACCCGTTAATCACATGTTTTTTGGATTATTTTAATTGTGGGATTTTTCTTATGCCACTTTTCATATTGGAGCCCCATTTTCAAAATACAGGGTGTCAAAATTAAAATTTAAACAATTATTTTTAATAATAACTCTAGTGAGTGTAGAGGTATTTATTTGAAATTTAGCATTTAAAGAATATGCAAATACGGTAGCTCCAGCTCTAAATGTTTATTAGTATTTTTTCAAAGAAATTTTGAAAAACTTCTATACTCCGCGGTCGAAATTATAGAGTGACTCAACGCTAGCTTTTGGACTAGTAAGGGGGATGAAGCATGCCGGGAACGAAAATCCATTGGCGTCTGCGTAAAAGGCAACAAGATATAGAAAATATTGAAAAAAGATAATAAAACATAACTAATATTTTTTTACGGTTTGCTATAACCGGCACTTTGATCCATTTTAATTACAGTACTTTAAAACGTCACAGTTGTGTTTTTTTAATCTATAAATTTATTATAGCCATGGAATTAGACTCCTCGTCTATGCTTATTATGCTGACGTTTCTCAGGACGGATAAATCAAGTCCGTTTACACCCACTAAAAAAGCATTTCCTTATTCCCTACCAAGTGCAAAAGACAGAGATAGAATATAGATTGACGTTCAGTGTAACTCAGTCTATAGACGATTATAGATTCTATCGATGTGCGTAGCAAGCGGCACAAAGATAAATAATATCGAACCGTATAAAAATCATTTTATATTTTATACGCATTATGGTAATAGTGTTTTTATATTATGTCTGACTCACTCTCTATAATTTTGACTGCGGAGTATAATTGCTGCTAAAATGGATAAAATCGAAAATTTTTAAATGGGGGGACTGATAGTCGAGGCTCCAAATGGTATGTATTAAAATTGGGATCTCAAAATAATCATTGGTTTTACAGTGAGAATTGAAGAAAAGTATAATTCTGTATTTTCTTAATTAACGTCAACTAATTGTGCGAAATCTACCCAGCCGATTTCGATGAAAAAATTTCTGCAATACTACCATATCATGAAATACTCACAACCATACTTTTTATATGGCTGTTCTAAAGTCAAGTTCCGAAATAAACACGAAAAAAACATATTTTCACGAATTTTTTTTTCGGTCTATACTGGATTGCAGCAACAATCATGCACATAAAAATTTCGGGCCACTTTTATTTTGAAGGGAATCTCGATACAAAACTTTTTTCCTTCAACTATTTTCTCTATGTCAATATTCTCCGAGTTATACATGAAAGAAGGGAGAAAAATATGCCTTTTTAAATTTTTTCTTTACATTTTCTTGCACTAACAACTTTTTCAGCGGGAGCATATCGCAATTATCATTTTAAATAATATTTAGAACTGTAGAAACAGATATTCCAAAGAATATGTGGCGAACGGATTGACCTCTAATTTGTAACACCCTGTATACAAACTTTTATTGTTTTCTCCGGTATGCTATTTATTAAAATTAAGAGTACACTGGGATTTCATAGTTTTTGCAGATATTTTTTATACATGGTGACCCACTTTAAATGGAAAAAATTCTTATAAAAAATTGATCGATTTAATTCAAAGCCCATTTTTTATTTTTTTCGATTCTAAATTTGACAAAAATTGGATAACAAATTTTTAAATCAAATCTGCATATTTCGTTTTACATATTTTGGTTTAGCATAGCATATACAACAATAAAGAACTTATTGTTTGCGATATCAGTAAATTTTCAATGTCAGCTATTCGGAATTATTTTCAAATGAGTTTTGATTAAACACCAATAAAATAAATAATTTTATTGTAAATGCAACTCAATATACAAAAAAATACAAATCTCTCGACAAATTTCTACAATAATTCATTTAAGGATCTAAATATGGTCGTCCCGTCACATAAGCCTAAGCAGTTGACTGCAGTTTTTCACTCAACCGCCAAAGAAAATATTGAAATAAATAACATACAACACCTATATAAGACTTTACTGATCGTTTTCTAAAATAAATAAAACAAGAACTAGAAATAACAGGATATTAAAAATAAATTATCAGCAATTATATTATAAGTAATAACTAGGTTTTTATAATTAATATACAATATAAACAATAATAATTAATATACAGCCTTTCGTTCTCACTTTTAAAATCCATCAATCCTCTTCTTAAAATTAATGTTTTTTATTTTCTGTAAACGAGAAATAAGCCATTAGTACGTTACAAGATAATAAAATCAAAATAATACTGCGTGCAACTTAAGATCAAAGTAATTTTTGTTTTGCGAAATATGAATCACACAAAAATAGAAATAAAATAAATCGTATTTGTAACTACCTTCTGTTTGTTTTCGGTGAAACTCTGCAACAAAAATAAAATAAAACGTAACTCATATATTTCCTAAATATGTTCGTTGCCTATATTTACCCATATATTCTAATTGCTGCTTCCTATGGGCTTCCATTAACGCATTCAGCTCCGCTTTTTGCCTGTTCAACATCTCCTCGAACGTTTCCTCCTAAATAACAGAAGTCGTCATGTAAACATCTGCGGAATTAACCACAGCTCTGTGATTGGTTACAAGATCTCTGCTTTTCATATGTTACACAACATACCTATTTTCATTATCCTCAATTAATTATTTTTACATACAAAAATATTCCAGTAACGTTTAACGTTTTCTACCAAAATTGTCACTTGCTGTTAACTCTCAGGTCAGCATTAGTTTCAAATGAACATTTTCTTTTCTGCCGTTATTTCTTACGGAAATTTTAATACTTTCAGAATAAAAGATCAATCATAATTTTAGAAATGTTTATAACATGCTGAGTATTTTATCACAATATAAATTAGTATAGATGTTGAATAAGTTCTCGCTGTTTTCCAACAGATGGCGTTACCAGAATTGCAAGCATGTAGTTTTTTTTTCAGTGTTAAACATGTTGAATTTCATGCTAAAAAAAAGAGTATTTCTGGGGCATTTTACTGCACCTCTTTATTCAAAAGAAATTTGTAGCTGAAGAATATAGAATTCTTGTTGAGACTGACGGCGACCTTGCTCTGTCACAAACACCATGCAGGGATTGGTTTAGACGCTTAAAACATAATGATTTTCATGTTGAAGATAGAGAATTGGAGACTTTGCTTCATGAAGACTCATGTCAGATGCTTGTTGAACTTTCAGAATCATTAGGAGTTGGTCACACAACAGTTTTGAATCGTTTGAAAGCATTAATAATTATTCAAAAGCAAGGACATTGGAGGCCGTACGAATTGAAGCCGAGACGTTGAAAGGCATCTTTGCATGTGCGAACAGCTGCTTCAACGGCAGGAAATAAACGTTTTTGGCAATGAAAAATAGATTCGCTACAATAATCCTAAGCATAGAAAATCGTGGGGAAAGCCCGGCCATGAGTCCACATCATCGGCAATGTGGAATATCCATGGTTCCAAGCTTCTGCTTTGCCTTTGGTGGAAGTAGTTTATTATAAGCTGCTCAAAGTGAATCACTGGAGGTCAATATCGACTACAAGTGATGCGCTTGAGTCGACCATTGAAGGAAAAACAGCCGCTATACGAACAGATACAACAAAGTGATTTTGCAGCATGATAACGCTCGGCAACATGGTGAAAACCTACTAAGAAAGCTTAAATGGAAAGTCCTACCCCACCTGCCATATTCAACAGACAATGCCTCTTTCGATTATCACTTGTTTTTATCGATGGGACATGGCCTGGCTGAGCAGCACCTCCATTCTTAAGAAGATGTGAAAAAATGGGTCGACTCTTGGATAGCCTCAAGAGGTGTAGTTTTTCTGACATGGAATTAAAATGTTGCCAGAAAGACGGGAAAAAATAGAGGCTAACCATGGCCAATACTTTCAGTGACATGTTTCTTACTGATTTTTTTAAATAAAGTATTAATTTTCACGAAATAACAGTGACAACTTATTTAACTCCCATTATTAGTGAAAATTATAAACTAATATAACATTTACTTTGTTTATAATGAACTTTCAATGATCAGTGAGCAAATTTAATGTTGTACTTAATTTCAGAGATCTTATACCAAATTATACTCAAATTTAAATAACACTGAAGCTCGGACAATTTGCTTCTATACCCTCGTTAATTTACCCAATACCCCAATTCTTGGTTAAAACTATTAATTTTCAACAAATTCAAGAATAATTAACATTATTCTAACATAATATTAACTATAATTGTAAAAATAAAAATTACAAAAACCAATAATTGGAGGTTGCAACAATCCATTCACAAAAAAGAGTTATCTGTATGAAAATGTTTAAATTGTACATATTATCCTGTTAGGTTCCAAGTCGTAAAAATCAATTTTTTATCATGTTTTATTTTAATTTATCAAAATAATAATAAAGCATGGGAATTGAGATGTAAAACTAGATAATTTTCATTAAATAGAGAGGCAATTATACAGACTTCTTTCTATGTGGTCTAAATGGCAGTACCAACAACACCCAATAGTATCGGAAGCAGAAGTTAAGTGGCAATTTGACAGATTATATTTGACATTTGACTAATTTGACAATCCTTTGCAGGTTAATTTTTAACTGAATTTTTAACCCTCATCATACCGTGTTAAATGTTGTGTACGTATATTTGAATCTCAACTGAATAATAACAATAAGGCATGTTTATTGATACCAACTACATAAAATCCTTCTAGTTACCAAAAAAATAACATGGATAAGGTGTGTTTTTAAATTAATTAAATATTATTTTTAATAAATAAAATTATGCTCTTATACGATAACATACTAAAGGAAATATATTAAAAATTGTGACTGTCGGATACATTTTTATCCCACCTGGTACGACAAGTGTTAAAGTAAAAGGAAAAAAGCCACAGTTCAAGTCAAGTTCGTTACTCTAATTGTAAATATGATAAAAACTACAATTAAAAAAAAATACTCATAGTTGCTGAAAAGTTTTCGATGAAAATATATGATGGTCTAAATATCAATTCTGACATTAGCTGTTAAATGACAGTGCCAATCAAAATGGTATGTTAAATATTTTAAGGGAATTTTTTGAAATAACTAAAAAAAAATTGGAAATGTTCTTTTTGTTACCACATTCCATCCAAGATGAATAATGTTTCCCTTTATGAGCCGATTAGGCACTGTCATCGTCATTATTCCGCTCATATTTGTGTCTAGTCACGGTTGAAACATATCGGTTGACTCACAAATATAAAAAGTTTGAATTTACATCAACAGAGAACGATGACAAATTAACAAAGTATGAGAAAGACACACATCAGATGAATAAATAAATCAAAAAGCTGCAGATGAACTTAGAAAATGAATAATGAAACACTGCACCGAAGACGAATTCCCATGTACAATTTGTATTATCTGTCCGACAAACTTTTTTTTGTGAATGCACATATTCTCGTACACATTCCGTGATGGTTAGTAGACTATTCTAGGATCAGAACAAGATGCGTCACAAGCCACATTCAGATATGGTTAGTAAGAAACACAACATACATCGCTAACATTAAAGTGGATCAATATAGCCGGTATACCTCCCACTATTACCGATTAATGGGCTTGGCTACAGACAGTACTTTTAGCTGGGTTATTCCTCAAAATATATCATGACTGACTTTATATAATGCACCATACTTAATATTGTGCTTATTTACTCTATAAAATGAACTGATCTTAATTAATTGTTTAAATTGTTTAGTACAAGAGAAAACTTCGATATAAAGTTACACAAATATAAAAAAAATTCAAGTCATTAAATAACAGGGATTTTTAAAAGGCCTCATCCATGGTGTGGTGTATTGAAGGCAATGAGCAATATGTCGAAAATGAATCGACTGTGTGTAATCATTTTTGGCAGCTTTTGTAATTAGTAGAATTTACAGAAAATTTTATCGACAGGGCAATTAAATCTGTGGCCATTGCAACGATTCGATAAACAAAAGACAACATATTGGCGCTATTTAATAAAGTGCACCATTGTTAAAAATGATTGCATATGGTCAATGAACTGAAAATCATTGTAGTGATTTTCAACATATTGCTCATCGTCTTTGATAAACCGCACCTTGAACGGGGTCTTTAAGATTGTTACTAGAAGATTCCATATAGAAATAGCTTATTCTTCATAACACACTTGGTCTATCAGTGACTTTAATAGATGAGTGAGAAATAGTGACTATTTCCTCCAATATCAATCCCTGTTATTTGATGACTTCCCATCACATATTTTGAACTGTTTTAAATATATACTCAAATATCAAATATTACGTCAAAAAATGAATTTATAACAAGAACCTGGAATTTTTAAACAAGATATGTAAATTTATTTTAAGGAATAATCCACACATTTGCTGATGTAGATAAGACATATACATATAGCTGGATATATACTTTTTAAGTTTAATAATAAATACAAAGAAAATCAAAGAAAATTTAAACATTTTTCCCATATTCCTCGCAAATTAGTACAAAATTAGAAATACAAAAATTCGCAGTTATTTTTTTGTAAACATACAGGGTGTTCCATTTTAAATCACGCACCTGAATATCTCGTCAGGGTAGCCAGCAATCCAAAAATAACCCTTACGAAAGTTATAAGGTTCGAAGGGGGACAACCTTCAAAGCCATTTGAGGGTCAAAATTTTTTATATAGGAACTTCTATTTTTGATTAGGAAAGAGCGCAAAATTTTACGTTCTACGAATCTGGGGTCAAAAATTGGGGTTTCTATTTAAAAAATTAGATTTGACCTTCAAATTACCTTGAAGATCAAGGTCAAGATCAAATTGAAGGTCACCATTCGATGTCCCCCTCCGAACCCAACAACTTTCGTAAAGGTTATTTTCGGATTAGTGGCTTCCATGACAAGATATATAACCTTTAAAAGTCATTCCTAGGAAGAACCCATCTAAACATAAAATTTTGCATTCAAATCAGGGATCAAAACTAAAGGTCCCTATTTGAAAAGTTAGATTTGACCTTTAAATGGCCTTAAAGATCAATGTCAAGGTCAAATTGAAGGTCACCATCCAACATCCCCCTCCGAACAATTTTTGTAAGGCTTATTTTTCGGATTGGTGGCTCCTCTGACGAGATATTCAGGTGCGTAATTTAAATATTTTGTCCTTGAAATAACCTTTAAAGGTCATTCCAAAGAAGAGCCTTAAGTACCCATCTAAACATAAAATTTTGCCTTCGAATCAGGGGTCATAAATAGAGGTTCCTATTTAAAAATTTTAAATTGACCTTTAAATGGCCTTGACGGTCAATGTCAAGGTCAAATTGAAGGTCACCATCCGATATCCCCCTCCGAACCCAAGTTTTGTAAGGGTTATTTTCGGATTGGTGGCTCCCCTGACGAGATATTCACGTTTGTAATTTAAATATTTTGTCCTTGAAGTAACCTTTAAAGGTCATTGCAAAAAAGTGCCTTAAGTATCTATCTAAACATAAAATTTTGCGCTCTTTCTGGTCCCGGGGTCAAAAATAGAGGTTCCTATTAAAAAAATTTGATTTGACTTTCAACTGGCCTTGAGGGTCAATGTCAAGGTCAAATTGAAGGTCGCCATCCGAAGTACCCCTCTGAACCTACAACTTTTGTAAGGGTTATTGTCGGATTGGTAGCTTCCCTGACGAGATATTCAGGTGCGAGTTTAAAATGGGGCACCCTGTATATCCCCAGAAGAATTAGAAGTACATAAAAATTTACAGAATGAAAATATATATCCCAGCTATACCTGAAAGCCATATTTTACACCTCACATCTCACTATAACTTTAATGTTCTTTTAAATTTCCTAGAATATCTTACCGTCCTGTTGAAATAAGTTTCCAAATACTCGTGTATTGGCACCACTGTCTTACAGTTCACGCCTCCGCAACAACACTTGTATACAATTTCAGTCTGGTGTGGTGTGTTACATGTGTGGTACTCGGAGAGGTTATTGCAAGGCAGAGAACCGTAACTCCTTGCGTACCAGGGATACTCCGAACCGTATCCGTGAAAATTACCGAGATGGTCCATAGAACCGAAATTGCCGTACAGGTAAGGCCTGTGGTAGAACGCGTTAAAACTATTGGGGCTCGGTGGAGGATAATCGTATATCGAATAATTAGAATTGCTATGCATCGGACCGTGATGGGAGAGGTTATTTTCACCGTGTACCGTGTAGTAGCTATCGAACGGCTGTTCGTTCGCCCTTCTCCTGGGCAAGTCTTTGAAGAGATTTTGCATCGAGTTCGAGTGTTTCATCTTCAAGTTGCGCCTCAGCACGTCGCTGGGCATCTCGTCTTTCTTCTTACGACGCATCATATTGCCTGCGTACTTCTGTTTAGTCGAAGATAAAGTGTTTATGTCCCTTAAATACAAATTTTGACTCTCGATCACGGAATACGAATTAACTTTACGGGACCGCGGTTCGTGCAGGAATCTCTCTTGATGGTATTTGAAATCAGGTACGAAGGTATCACTACAAACTGATACATTTTCGGGATAGTCATCGTAATATTCAAATACATCATCGTTCTCTAAACTGTCCTCACTGACAGTGTCGAAGTTAGTTGAGAATAAGTTTTCGTTAGTCAGATCAGGGCAGGATGCGTTCAGGTTAGAAACATTATTAAAAACCCGAGAAACATGCAGATCTTTCAAGAATGACGAATGAATGTTCGGCATACTATTAGTAACGTTTAACTGATTTTCGGGAGGGTGTATGACTATTTTAGGGAACTGACGGAAGGTTCTGGACTTTTTACGACCGATACTTGGACGGCGCGGATTGTCTGCATCGATTATATTATTCTCGCTTGTTTTATTATTTATAGGCAGAAGGCTCTCGATTTCCTTTTTTAAGTCGACGTAAGACATGGACTTTTTCAACGGTAGAATATCAATGGGATGGGACGAGTTTCTGTGTGTTACGTGTGACTGAAACTTGTTTTTATGGTGGTTACTGGAGTTAGATGTCGACGGGATGTTATTCGAGTGACTTTGATGCGTTTTAGCAGTGGTGCCAACGTGCTTATAGTTGCGGTTGTTACCAACTTCATGCGGCTACAAATACAAAAATAAAAAACTAAAAAAAACTACCAACAAAAACAATCTAAAAATAAAAAACTAAAAAAAAACTACCAACAAAAACAATCTAAAAATAAACTAATCTCATGTTTCGTCTATTCCTATGAACATTTCAAATCAGGACGAACAATGCCAAATACTACTTATCCTTCGCAATTTACAAATAATTTGCATAACCCACCATGTTTTCTAAATATACACGAATAAAACCTAGCCCTAGACTTTAAAGGTGAGTCACAAAACAAAAATTAAAAAGAAAAAACACAAAATATTAGTCAAACGATAAGAGAGTGTCAAACGTGAAAAACTTACTTTAACTTTTGCAACCTCTTCTGACGGTACTTCTTCAGCTGAAAAGAAAATACACAAATATACAGGGTGTTTTTAAATGAAGTAGCAAAAATGGTACCAGTGAATGTAGAGCCAAAAATAAGAGGATTGAAGTAAAAATACCTTATATGAAAGTTGCACCCCTGAGGCGATATACCCTCTTAAAGGTGAGGATTGAAATTCACATTTTAATTTTTTTCTTTAACATGAGGAATGCCAGAGACACGAAACTTGGTATAAGCATCCTACTAATAAAGAGACAACTTTTCAATATTTGTTCATTGGCGTATTTTGTACAGGAGTGAAACAGACAACCCCATTGCAATATTTCATTACATTTTTTATATGAAGCAAATTATTTATATAAAAATATTTATTGGGAAGACTGATTTATTGCGCTACTTTTTTACCTCTTGTAATTTTTTGATGAAACCAAAAGTCACGACCACGACCAATCCAGCGATTCGGGTAATTTAAATTTAACCATTCTCTAACGGCAGTGTACTATGTGCAAGCACCACATCACCTGATGTGTAGTGAGGGGTACATCCTCGAGTAATGTTGGAAGATTTTCGTTCAAAATTCTAAGATACTCGGCCGCTCCAAGCCTGTGTGGAAGAATAAAAAGACCTACTAGAGTATTTCCTACAATTCCCATCCAAACGTTTAAACTGAAATTTTGTTGACATCTTGAAACAAATATCTCATGCGTATTTTCTTCCAATCATGAATGAACATTATGAAGGTTTACTGCACCTACTCTAAGAAAATTTGCATCATCGGTGAAAAGTATATTCATTAGAAAATTTAAATCATGCCTGGAAATATTAATGTACCATTGACAAAAATCCACGCGATTAGGTAAATCAGGGTCATTCAATTCTTGCACGGGTTGATGGTGAAAAGGGTATAAAAGATTTTCATGAGCTACATTCCACACAAGACTGTGAGAAACTTGCAGTTGCCTGGACACCTGTCTTGTGCTTGTACCACAGTCTTGTTCTAGATGTTCCAGTATAGCTTCCTCAGTTTCAACAGTTCGGACATTACGCCTTCTTCCGGCACCCTCACGATTGGGCTGAATTTTACCAGTTTCGCGAAGCCTTCTTTCCACCGAGGCCAATGTTTGTCTATGAGGAATCGGTCGGTTTGGATATCTTTGGTGGTATAATCTTACTGCAGCGTTACTATTTTTTCTGGATTCGAAAAACACTTGGAGCATGTCGACATATTCGTCATTGGTATAAATATTATTTGCCATAATTATTCTGATAATAAATTAATCAATTGGTACTAATTATTGGTTGACAGAAAGTGTCAATTTATTAATATGATAAATAACAATTTATTTGTTATGACATCCGCCTACTTTATTTTTACAAATTTTCGCAATTACCCCTTTAGTGAACGATGACGCATCTAATTTTTTTACTAGAAAACTATCGGTTTTATCGAAAAATTACAAGAGGTAAAAAAGTTGCGCAATAAATCAGTCTTCCCAATAAATATTTTTAAATAAATAATTTGCTTCATATAAAAAATTTCTAATAAAATATTGCATTGGGGTTGACTGTTTCACTCCTTTATAAAATACGCCAATGATCGAACAAATATTGAAAAGTTGTCTCTTTATTAGTAAGATGCCCATATAAAGTGTCGTGTCTCTAGCATTCCTCATGTTAAAGAAAAAAATTAAAATGTGAATTTCAATCCCCTCCTTTAAGAGGGTATATCGCCTCAGGGGTGCAAATTTCATATAAGGTATTTTTACTTCAATATCAATATTTGGCTCTATATTCACTGGTACCATTTTTGCTACTTCATTTAAAAACACCCTATAAAATTCAACTAACTGATTTCAAATACACACAAAAAAAAATTAAATAAAAAACAATAATAGGAAATTAAGACTCACCTCCCGTAGGCAAAGATTTAACCAAGGTAGTTTTTAAGGAATCAAAGGTTGTGTTTATAACCGTAGTAAAGTCTGCTTCTCTTCTCGTTTCGTTTTCGGGTACCGACATATTACCAGACCGCGCGTGGCTTTCCGGTATCGCCAGTTTACTTCTATCGGGCTCCGTAACCACGCTAACCTTAAACCGGGATATGCGCCTCTCCTTGGTAGATTGGCCGCCATCTGGTGTGCTGGAAAGCACCTGAAAAAAGTCTCGTTAAAAATAGATAAAACAAAAAAATACACATTCGTTGGTTTGTACTGTACCTGATTACTAGAAGTTGAAGCGGAAACGCTCGCAACGCTTGGCACGCTAAGGACCTCCTGCATTCCGCTCACATCGCTCCTCGCTTCCATCAGCTGTTCCGTACCGCCGACGTCTTTCTTCTCGACAGCATCGTTCCTAGTATGAATCAACTTAAGCTTGTTGTTGAGTTCGGTGAACTGCTTCTCTGAGCTCGTCGTGAATATGGGGGGCTCCGCTTCCATGACAGGAGACAATATCTCCGAGGTAGTAGTGCCGCTGCCCGGACCGCTACCAGAATCTACCTGCAGCTGAAAGGAAATACGATTAGACGCGTGCGGGTCAGGTATTGACGGGCATCTATTAGTTACTTTGTTCTTGTTAATGATTAGGTTAGTATGCATAATGTCTTGGGGGAAGTCTAGTGATGCTACAATCAGTTGGGGGCTAGGGGGTGCCTGCAACAAACATCGCTTTGGTGAAACGGGGTTATCCGACACAAACGACAACAATATTTTAATAAAAACACATAACAAACACTTGGGAGCAACAAATATTAACACACAATATTAGTGTTAGAAATTACGAATCGAGAAAAATTAATCTTACTGTAGCACTTTGCGGAGTCCTGGACAAAGGAAACGAGGACAATTTGTGCTGCAAACTCTGAAGGTGGGCGTCGTACTTCAGATCGCTCTGGGGTGTCGAAGCCTGGCTCCCTCTAGTGGAGGCGCTGCAAACAACACATATACAAGGTGTAACATATTTAAAAGAAATGATATATGTTCCACAGAATACTAAAGATTATTTTTTTTTAGTTCGAATAGATAATTGAGTTATAATTCGTTATTTAAGAGGGCTCTATAGCAAATATGTAACCAGCAATACACTTTTATAGATTTTATTACAGTTTCTCTAAATATGAATTAATCCACAAATAACAGACTTTCCTCCATTTTAACGCAGATTTTCTATAAAATGAACTTAGTTTGAAACTCAAATTACTTTTTGGTGTGAAGAAATTTGTAATTTACGATGCCGTTTGTTCAAAAGTGGCAAATTACATTTAGAACAAAATGTAGTTTCAAACTAACTCCATTTTATAGAAAGCCTGCGTTAGAATGGAGGAAAGTATGTTATTTGTGCATTAATTCTTATTTAGAGAAACTGTGTAATAAAATCTATAAAAACGTAATGCTGATTGCTTATTTTCTATAGAGTCCTCTTAAAGTGCAATTAGTCGTTTATGCTGTCACTTAGTAGCAAACTCAGTTGCATGAGGGCACTTATTAGTGTTGCTGTTGTTACTTTTTTAAACCAACAGTATGAAACAAATGGAGTGTCAGAAAATGCAACTACATAGAAGAAAATTTATAAAAAGTGATTGCTTTTTAAGACTTTACGTGTTATTTTACAGTCACCATATTTTTGTGAATGAAAATTTTCGAGTAAAGAACATGAATCCAGAAAGTCTTGATATGGTTAGAACCTACTTTTTTTGTCGGAAGAAAATTGTATGGCTGCAAAAGGATGTATTATTGCACCCGATAAGTACCAATAAGAAAATGTTTGTAAGATTGATTCAATATTTAAGAGGTTACGAGAGTTTTGAAAGCCAATATATTAATATTGGGTAAAAACAAACTCAGAGGATGAGAATCCTGGCAAAATAATTTACCACTGTACAACATCGAAGCTTCACAGATATCTATATCCTGTTCACAAAATACAGGCGTTGAAACCAGAAGATTTATCAAAGCATGTAGAATTATGTGTGATACGGGAAAAAATCCAATAAAGGGAAAAATTTTTCAAATTGTGTATTATAAAGTGATGGGGCAGAAGAAAAGACATTTTCAATATTGCATTGTTGTAGAATGATTGAACCAAAACGAGAATAAGTGGATTATATGTTTCGAAGCCACTACATTGGCCATTAAAATCCTCAGATTTAAACCCATGTAACTTTTATCTGTGGAGACACAGTTTACTCAATTCCTGTCAACGATATTGAAGAACTATGTCAGAGAATCATGTCATAGATCTTAATAAGATAACTTTACATGTTGCGACATGTTAAGACATGTTTAAACAGGCAACAGAGAAATTTTGAGCATATGCTGTAAAAAAATCAGATGTATGTTTTTATTTATTTTATCTACCTTTATTTATTACTATCTGAGTTATCTATTAGGTAACTTGTTATTGATTCAGTTCTTCTCATTTAAAATAATTGATTTTTCGTTTATGTGCGATACTAAATCTCCTCCTAAAATTCCCTGCCTCTTTTAAATTATGAGGTTTAACAACAATGCATACTGTAATTCTCAAGTGTGTACGCGCTCCTCGCTGTTATCACGCACGGTTGTTTGAGGTCATCGGTCTGCTCAGCAGACTTATACAAAATTAATTAAAAAAAAAAGTTAAAAAAGATTTTAGTTTCCCCAAGGTCCAAACTTACGACATGCATTTTAAAGGTCAAATGTAGTCTCCATGTAAAAATGTACCCCACTCAAAGTTGTATAAAAAGCATTTTAAACTTTGATGGACTAACCTCTCTATAATTTGCTTGAGATTCTCTGGTATCTTCTTAACGGCGTAATTCTGCAAGGTCTCGTCCACGGACACGGAGTGCTGGAAACTAACGGGTGGTTGGGCGGCGGACAAGTTCTGCACAGACACGGAACTAGAAATAGCCTGAGGGGGAAACACGTGTTGCTGGTACATAACACTCTGCATGTCCACCGGCTGGCTCATATTCAGCATCATCTGCTGGGGTGAGGTGACGACGGACTGCTGACTCGTAGGTCCTAAGATCTGCTGCTGCGGCGGAGGTACGTTGATAGGTTGTTGGTATTGGGGTGGAACCACGCCGGTAGGCTGGGTGATGGGCGGTTGTTGCGGAGGTAAATTCGTAGGTATCGTAGGCATGGGTATTTGGCCGACTGGTTGCGGTAGAGAGGTGTGCGGTATGATATGTGGGGCTTGCTGGGACATCGGAGGAATCTAAAATATACATTAGATTAACCAGTTTCGTTTCAGTTACAAAATAGTTAAGATGTTGGGTATGAAGGGCTAAATTGGTCCTTTTTATTCAGTACAAACTATTTTTTTTCCTATTGTTTTCGGTTATTACATTTTCAGGGAAAAAATTACAGTTTAAAAACACTAACTAGCATGTAAACAAAGCCAGCAATAAAACAAATCGCTTCTCCCCCACATAATGTCATTATGTCTTTCTATAAAATTGATGTTTCTCTACTTAATGTCTTTTATCTCTTTCTAACATCGTTTTTTCTCTTTATATCATCATTCTTTTGTTCTATAAAACAGTCGTTTCTCTCTATAACAATAGGAAAACATAAAGAAGGTAACAATAGTAAAGAGTGACCAAAAAAATCGCCCATTTTTTCACAATTCGCAGAGAATAGAAAAAATATATAAAAATATGTTTTTGATTGCAATTTACTTGTGTTAAAAAACTGAAATGAGCATAGCTTTTAGTAATTAGAAAATTTAAAAAATCACCCCTACTTAGGGGTTGAAAAAATGCCAAAAATGAAGAATTTGAATATTACCAATTGATATAAAAACTGTTTGCATGTGAATTATTCTATCGAATGATTCTCGATACAAAAAAAGATTTATTTTCACGACAGTAATAGGCATGTTGAATTTGAAAATCCACCCTTAAGCGCACTTAGGGGGTGAAATCATCCCCAAAAATAGAGAATATCAGAAATAATTGTAAAAATTCCAAAAAATATATATTTTTGTAATATTAAATTCTTCATTTTGGGCATCTTTTCAACCCCTAAATAGGAGTGATTTTTGAAAATTTTCAAAAAACTAAAAGCTATGCCCATCTTAATTTTTTACGACGAGTAATTTGAGACCAAAAACATATTCTTATCTATTTTCTTTAGTTCTCTGCGAATTGTGAAAAAACGGGCGATTTTTGTGATCACTGTGTGTTAAATTAAAGATCTTTTTTTTTTATAATTCGTATTTTATTTGATTTTATTCTTAAGGCTATGTTTCTTACAAAACGTGCTTATAAACTATATTTATAATTGTATTACTCGGATTACATATAAAGAGATTTTGTTCAAGAGATGCGACATTTACATAGTAGTAAAAATCTTTATTCCACTCTTAAGAGGAAATAGACACTTCTTTAACAATATAAAATTAATTACACAGCATTACACTTTGAAAAACCGCGGTCTTTTTACTTTGGTCTTGCTTCCATCGTTGTTTGATTAACCCTGACTGCTCACAGGCACTACACGGCCTTTATATAAACTAATGACACTTAGAAACTTCCGTTAAACATTCATGAATGATCTACATATATGCCAGGGTAACCAGGGTAGTTCAATAAGTAATCCAATATATGAGGAATATTCAATATGTACTAGTGGATATGTCNGATTCTGATAGCAGCGGTACAGACTAGTTTTTTATGTTTTAAATAATAAAATGTTTTTTTAATTAATATTTTTACCTTTTCAATAATAAATGACTTATTTTAAACATATTTATAGTTTATTTTCCATGACGCTGATAAATTTATTACACCTAATTAACCTACTACACTGAAGAAGCGCTTACGGCTAAGATTTAATGTAAAACGGTCCTGTGTAGCTCGCTATAGACTTCTCCCACTCTAATCGCCAATGCGCGAAGCAAGTCCATTCTCTCGTTGGACAAGGTATAGATGCTTATAGAAACTTCCGTTAAACATTCATGAATGATCTACATATATGCCAGGGTAACCAGGGTAGTTCAATAAGTAATCCAATATACGAGGAATATTCAATATGTACTAGTGGATATGTCCAAGAAATGAGGACAAAAGGGCCTACCACCCTTATTTCAAAGCCTAAGTAGTCGCTCTTGGGGAGTTGTGTCTGGCAGCTGAGGAAGAAGTATATTTAGCTACGTCACACTCAGGCATTCCATCAGAGATTTTATAACATTATTTTGATATCAATTTTTTCTTTCACGGAAACACGCTTCCTTTTTCCCGACATGCTCAAAATGTGTGTGATTATATTTACGATAACACCTAAGAATTCAAAATTGAACTAAAATTAAAACCAGATTCCCTCGGTTTCAGAAATCAATTTTGTGAATCTCATTATCGTTAAATAATGTTTCTTTCTACCTACTTTTATGTAGTAGATTGGTGTCCGCGGTCGTTTAACAGAAAGGTCTTTATTGGAGTATATAGTAAAAACAAGGGGATTTCCATTTGTAAACTAAGAGCATTCAAAATCGGTAGTGGTCGCTCGACACAGGTGGTCACTAACAAAGGTATTACTCTAATTGATACCAATATATGAATGGATTTGTTTAACACTTGTTTTTTACATATAAATTTTGAATAAAACTTGTTGTTTTACTATTGGTTTCATTTATGTGTGAAGTTTGTTTTTTATATATTGTAGTTTTTTCGCTGATGATGGAGTAATAACCTAGCAGGAAAAAAATAACCGTTTGTAAAAAAGATTCTAATTTACTCCGCCACAGTTACCAGCATTCAGTATTACAATGAATTTTTGCCAAAAAGTTAAATAATTGGCTGTAATTATTTGTGGCATTTCCCGTTACTATTTTTATTAGAATGGATATTTCTGTCACTAAAATTATAATTTTTTTTATAAACGACCTAGGCGCAGCAGAGATATCTAACCAAATCAAAGAATAACAAAATAGTTACCTGTATCGGCATATCGTGCGTCGGTAATGCAGGTTGCTGCAGCGGTGCCTGCATAGCTTGACTCGGCGCCGTGGTACTCAACTGAGTAGGAGCACTGGCTAGAACTTGCGGCTGCGCCATTGAAGTATTAATCTGCTGCTGTATGTTCATCTGTTGCGGAGGCGGAGCGGAAACGTACTGCTGAGGGATAGATATAGGGACAAAACTTTGATGAGGGGCAGACGTGGGCACGGTCACTGCCGGTTGTGGTTGTGAAATCGGCTGTATCTGCGGTACGGGCTGTGGCATCTGCAACGGCTGTTGGGGTTGCGGCAACGACTGCTGATGTTGCGGTAGGGGTTGCTGAGGTTGTGGCACCACTGGGTGAGGTTGTGGTATAGGATGATGTGGTTGAGGCAAGGGTTGCTGTGCTGGCTGCGAAAGAGGGATATTTTGCTGCATTTGGGCTTGTGGTACCGACTGTGGTGGTTGTGACAATGGTTGTTGTGGTTGCGGTATTGGTTGTGGCGGTTGTTGAGGTAAAGGTGGTTGATGCTGGGGCACAGGTTGTGGCATAGGTTGTTGAGGTTGAGGCAAAGCCTGTGGAGCTGCAGGTAAAGTTGGTTGTGATGGAGGAACATTTTGTTGATGTTGTGGCATGGCTTGTTGGGGTTGTAGTATGACAGGTGGTTGAGAAATAGATTGAGAAGTCGGTGGAGGCATGGCGGAGCTTATGGGTGGTATGAACTGAGCAGTGGCTGGTTGGGAATGGCTCTGAGTCTGTTGTTGGGGTTGGGGTGGGAAATTCACGGTCGTTTTAGAGCTGACATCAATGTTAGATGAAACCTTTTTAGCTTCCACCTCCGCAGATTCTTTCTTAGGATGACTGATGTGTTTTAAATTATCCAAACTAATTTTCAGCATCTCTAGAGTATTTATAAGTTCTGGGCCACACACAGCCCCGGTTTCTTCTTTTGTCGTCAATTCTTCTTTCAAAGAACAGACACTAATTTTCTGTTCTAGGGGTTTTTCCGTCTCCAGTCCAATTCTAGTTGATTCTAAAGGCGCAGAAATTTTTCTAACAGCTTCTGCGGTGACACTACTTGGCAACACAGGCTTAACTTCTACAGGTGGCTGAATATTTTGAACTAGAGGCTCAGTTTTTTCCACCGGCGCTACTTCTGGTGGCGGCGGCTGACCTACATCAATAGAACCGAAATCTTTGTCTTTTGGTAAATCTAACTGTCCCGATAGTACTGGACTAACTAAGAACCTAGAAATTTTCCTCTGGGGTACCTTCAAGCCGGGATCGCCTTGTGTAGGATTTTCATCCTTGGCTTGCACTCTCTCCCCTCCAAACTTCTCTGCAACCCCATCTTCAAGTTTTATATCTATAATCCTTTCTATGGGCCCCTGCGGTTTTGGAGGTAAACTAGTAACAGGTTTGTCTTTTACAATTTCCTGACCAGATTCAGGCTGATCGACGCCTAACACAAACACCTTCAGGTTAACTTTCTGACCGGGCATCAGTTTGCCAACGTCTTTCTGCATCAAACTGTTATTCAGTTCGGTTTTGAGAGCATCTGTATGGTCTACAGATTCAGGCACATGTTCTTTAGGAGGAACAGCATCCTCTATAACCTCAATGCCCAACTCCCTCAGATCTTTACTAGTCGTTTGAGAAAAAGACGGTTGCTCTACAGGAGCCGTTACGCAACTCTCGGTAGCGTAACTGACGTTAGTTTGGTCCGCCAATCCGGGAGGCCTACTGTTCAATATGTAAGTGTTTTCCGGAGTATATTCCGATGCAGTGCTGGTTTTGCGCGATACTGTACCACTTGAGTTCAAGCTCTCCCTACATCGTAAGTTGTGATAGATATTCTCCGATAAAGTGGTTTTTATGCCTTGGAAGTCTTCCTGAGGCGTAGGTTGGTCGACATAAGCGGGTTTTATCAGCGTCTGGCCGCTACTCTCATCTCTCTAGATAAACGACAAAATTAAAAATACATTACCCACTATTAACCTAAATATTTTTAATAAACGAAAAAAAAAGGAAAAGGTAAAATAAAATTCAACGGCTACAGTGCAAACAGAAAAAGTACAAGAAAAAAAATGGTGGAAATATTCTAACTAGTAAAAAAATGTGGAAAACTAAATGTATACAAAAAAATTACTTACAGATCGGTGCCTTCGATGTGTTTTTTTATGAGGGTGTCTAGTGAGAGATGCGTGCCTAACCTTTATTTGTCGGAGCGTGCAAAAAATAGATTATTGACTTATTGGTGAGGAACTACAATTTACCTTGTGTTAAATAACTAGTTATTTTGCTTGTAATATTACCATTTATACAATTACAGTGTTGAGACTGTTATTTTTTGTCATATTAATGCAAAAATATGATATATGAAAAATTTTAAATGAGATAAAAAAATAATTGTAACGATAGCTGATTAGTTAGTTTCACCATAATTTTTAATATATTTGGTAGCAAATACATTGCTTGTAGAGAGAAAATTGTGTCCTACAAAGAAGTGCAACTAAATTTTGACATGGATACATACAGGGTCGGAAAGTACCGATGGTCCATCTGCCGTTACATGAGAGCGATAAAGTAACTCATAGAAATCCGTGCGATAGAGAAAGATGGCTATAATGAAGGCGTCTAATAGTCACCGCCCATTTCGCCCTTCCACAAATAAGAAGTGGATCTTTCTCTATCGCATGGATTTCTATGTCTTACTTTATCGCTCTGACGTAACGGCAGATGGACCACCGGTACTTTCCGAACCTGTATATAAAATTGTGCAGATGGGTATCATCCCAGAAGTCGAGATGCATTGAAAACATGAAACGATTTTTGTATTCATAACTTTCAAATTGAAATGAGCCAAGTACTGAACAAAAACCAAAAATAGGCCTTATCTCACAATACAAACAAATTTTGTAACTTTAAAACTAACCGAGAGAGATGAGAACAATTTTAGACTGGGTTCATCAAAAATTTCACTGATCTTTTACAAGGTGTTACATTAAATGAAGAGGACAGTTCTTTAGGGGTAATAGTGCGTGTTTCCCAGAATAGGTACTAATCTGTAATATATTTTTTTTTAATCAAATAAATAGCTGAGTTACAATCCATTTTTAAACTGCACTTAAATTCTTGTCTACAGCGTCACTGGACAGCTCCCCAACTCAGTTGTATGTGCATGCTTATCAGTGTTGCCTCATTACCTTTTTAAATCACTTGCATAAAACTAACGGAGAAGCAGACAACGAAACTGCAATGGAAAATTTTATAAAAGCAGATACTTTTGTATTATTATTATTACGACATATTATTTTAAAGTTACCATATTTTTTTCTATGTTAACGTGGATGTAGCTGCAAAATAATGTTTTTAAGAAAATGAGTATTTTTTGCATGATTTATTAAATATCAACTAATTTGGTATGGGTAACGGTATAAGCTACCAACTGTAAATAAGACCAATTTATGTTTTAAAATAATTATTTTTGATGTTTTATAAAATGCACATAAAAAATATCATCACCATTATATCCAATCACCATAATACGTAAGCATTTTTTTAAAGCACAGTATTTAGTTTGTAAATCTCAAAGTCAATGACCTCTGATAGTGACCTAGTTTAGGTGAACTACATAATATCAATCCACCTGATGTGATATGACAAAAGGCGACTAGACACACGAAAAACAAAAGGTCAGTGTTAATTGGGCAAAACGAGAATGGCCGAATATGTCTCCATTTCACTTTTTTACATTTATTTTATACTCCAGTCGAATTAGATCATAAAACCTGGAAACTTGAAAAAATTGTTAGTAGACATTTTATCACACTTGATGACAGAGATGGGTACGTAGAATGATATCAAAAATGTAACTCTAAGTTGGCTTTACGTGTTTTTTCACTTTTTTTTTATTAACTTTTTGCTCACGAAAATCTAGGTGACCTATCGGAAAATTAGTAATTTTATCTTGTAGGCAATTCAATTACCTACAATTTAAGATATCTAAAAGTCATATTTCACCAATTTACTAACTGTAAAATAAATGAATATTGATGTAATTTATAGAAAAGATGGCCATTCCAATGACCAACATGTGTGCCAACGTCAATTCGATTCACCGTGAAATATTTGCTCCAGATATTTGTTAATTTCGTTAGTTTTTTTTGTTTCAACTAATTTCTTAATTGCTAAATGTTAATTTTAAAAGTTAATATCTTAGATATAGGTTCTAATTGATCTAAAGAAACTTATCGAAAAAGAAAAATTTCAAAAAGTTGAAATTAAGTAGCCCTTTACAACAATGTAGGATGTGCAGAACAGCGTTATAAACAAATTGTCTCAGGGTCAGGCAAAAGCCGCTCGGGAATTTGCACTTTTTACATTAAATAGAGCTCATTTTTACGGTAATTTAAAAAGAAAGAGAAATCACCTACGCCTCTTTGTTCCCAAGATAACTTTTTTTATATAATGTTTGTTTGGTTTTTGCTTGTTTCATTTAGTTTAATTACTTAGTTTTTTTTTATTGTATTTCTAAACTATATAAAAGAATCTCTAATTTATATATTATGTTCTTTTTGTTATTACCGCGTAAAATCTGTGGTTTTCAACGCCTTTACTGGCGACTACTCCAAATATGGGCTTGAATGGTAGCTCTCGTTGAAACCATATGCTCTCTTGTGTCTTTTTTTACAGCCTCTATTCCGCTATTGCTCCACTATTAAACTCTTGTGTTTTGATTACAAAACTGGCCGGTATCAGCCTTTGGAAGTACTCTCTCGTACTAAGTGCGATTGTGTAAGAAGACGCCTATTTTGAAGGTAAGAAAATCACCAATTGTTTTTTTGTTGATATTCTCAGTTATTTCATTGCCAACAATAATTAAAGTCATATGCTATTAAACCAGTAACAAAAAAAAATACAGTCCATTTTAAAACAATAGGTGCGTTTTGTTGGATCAATCCCTGATTTATTAGATTTTTTAGAATGACATTTTTCAATAAAACAATTCGAATCAAATCTGACATTAGACAGATGCCGAATCTCAACGGGCCAATGCTACACCAGCTACCTAAGTAACCTCACAAATTTGATCTCCCCACCACTTAATTCTAATAATTCCGTCTCAAACCACAGAAGCAAAAGTTGCAACCGGATTCAGAATATCCTTGCAATAAAACGCCCATTATGCATAATTCAATTCCGGAATCATTCCAACAAAACGCACCTAATGTTAATTGTTAATTAACTATTGGACATATCACACCGGGAATTTTAGAGGCAAAGCCGTTTATTTCATTACTTTCTTATAAAATGAGACAGATAAAGATTTGATTTAACTGGCAAATAAATTTATCAAGGGCCTAAAAGTGGTATTTAGAGAAGAGTTTTGTATAGTAAATGTTTATAATCTTATGACTTCAGCGTTTAGTGTGGGTAAGGTGTGTTTGTGTGTCTTCATCGTTAAATTTCTGTATGGTACTGTAAAAAAAACATGTATACGAATCCAGAAAGGTAATATTTGACAACAATGCCGGCAGTACCTCCTAGTTGGGTACGCGCTAGCAGCTAGCACGCAAGGTTGTTTGAGGTTACACTAATATGTCCAGTGACGAGCTATGAAAGTTACGAAAAAATATTTAAAAAATCACTTTTCACAGTGCAAATCAAGGTTGGCAAATGTCACGATATTTATATAAATATCAAATATCGGATATATATCTTGATTATATCCGATATATAATATATCAAGTCTTGATATTTATTTATTTTTTTAATTAATTAGTTTATGTATAATATTATATTAGCGAAATAAAATTAAGAAATTATTTAGGTAAATATTTTTATTCCAAATATCAAAAACAAGAACGAAAAAATAAATATAAATTCTGAAACTAATAAAAAATATTTGCCAGAATATTAAGTACTACAAAAACTAACTAATTTACACCGTCAACATAAACTTCATAAATATTAAAACAAATACAAACACACAGCACCTGCTCGAATTGACTAACACGTGGAAAAATAATGAAATAAAAATATTAATTCAATTTTACTTTGCTGACAAATTCGGGGAATCACATAAATAAACATGTTCATCAACGATTAGCATACGGTTTTGCTGCCATCTGTTAACAGTTTTAGCAACTTTAAACCAGTAGGAACAATTATTTAAATTTTTATAAATATCATGATATATACCAAGGAATAAATATTGTGATAGATATCAATGATATATATAGGATATATATCATTGATATGTATCATACCAACCTTGGTGCAAATTGAGAAAATAAACTTATAATGTGTTTCTAAAGGTCAAAGCTGGCCTCCGTATAAATATGACCACCATTTAAAGTAACACCCTGTGTAGTGAAGAACTTTGTTACAATTCAGACCCTTGCTGTGAACAGTTTTCAATTTACTGATTTATTCAGTAACTAGCTACAAGTTTGCAAGATGAACTCAAGCTTCCAGATGTATCCAAGTCTTGTACCACTTACGGTTGTGTCAGTGAGACGTACCTAGTATTTTTTAGATCATTTGTGAGATTTAGTGGGCGAATAAAGATTATTTTTATATCGTACTTTATCAGTAACTTGGAGAAACGTAATATATTACAAATCATTCCAGTAACATATGTTTGTGAAACATTAGACTTACCTTCTGGACGTAACCCTGCGGCTTGGCCTTGGCACATTCCGGGATCTTATCCGGCTCGATCTTCAGCTGATCGATCACCTCCTGCAGGTGATCCCTGAGGTGCTTGTGGGGCCCGTCCTTCAGCAGCTGCTGCCTGATCATCCCCTCGATGATGTGAGACGGCTTCGTATCTAACCTGTTAAACTTAAAGCTAATGGTTTTCTGTTTGCACAGGAGCTGGCACTCGACGGTACCGTCCGGGTAAACGTTATCTACGATTAACTGATGCTTAAAAGTACTCCTTTTCCTTCTCGGTTTCTCCTCCGTCGACGTGGAGATCTCTGAACTTACTTGTTCCGACGTGGACAGGTCCATGTCGTCGCCTTGGCCGGGCAGACTCTTGAAGTCCTGTCCCGGGGACTGGGTCGAACTGACGCTCTCCACGGATATCAGCGACTCCAGAGGCACCTGGTTGGCCGGCAGCAAATTGAGGTTTTCTGCCGTTAGAGGCTGAGGCTCCTGCTGGGGTGGAATAAATACCTAAATATATTAAAAAGAATATTTTTAAAATGGCAACTTTAAATAGTGTATTGCAAATGTCAGTTGTAAAGCAGACCAAAATTCCACTAGAAATTTTAAAAATGACCAGTCATCTTAAAAATGACCAGTCATTATAAAATATGTCATTTTTTAAATTTTTAAAAATTTAAAATTAAGACTACATACTTTAAAAATTGTTGATCATTAAAAAATCAATTAACTTAAATGTGACTCAATTTCTAAAATTATTACTACTTTAAAAATGACCAGTGACCAAATTAAAAAAAAAAACATGTTTATAGGACACAAATGTCCTTTAGCACGTATCCTCAAATTAACATTTTATTTAAAATAACTGCCGCAATGAACATATTTAAAATGACCAGTCATTTTAAAAATCAAAAATATGACTGATCACTTTAAAAGTTACTTCTACAAAAATGAGTTATTTTAAAAATCAGTATTTAAAAATGACCGGTCACTATAATCTACATAAAGTCACTAAAAAATCATTAATAAATTAATTATGACTGGTCATCTTCAAAATGACATATTATTTTATAAATCGTTATTTAAAAATAACCAGTCATTACAAAACATTTCTACTTTAAATGTGACCAGCCATTTTTAAAGCTACAAAAATTTTAAAAATTATTTAAAAATGACCCGTCACTATTAATATTACTAACAAATTAAAAAAAAAGTTTATGGAACACAAATGCCCTTTAGCAAGTATCTTCAAATTAACATTTCATTTAAAATAACTGCTGCAGTGAACATATTTAAAATGACCAGTCATTTTCAAAATCATTAAAAATATGACTGGTCACTTTTAAAGTTACTTCTACAGAAATGATGTTATTTTAAAAATCAGTATTTAAAAATGACCGGTCACTTTTAAAATTACTGCTACTGTAAAGTCACTAAAAAATCATTAATAAATTAACGGGTCATCTTCAAAATGACATATTATTTTATAAATCGTTAATGCAAAATAACCAGTCATTACAAAAATTTCTACTTTAAATATGACCAGTAATTTTTAAAGCTTCAATTTTAAAAATTATTTAAAAATGACCCATCACTATTAATATTACTGCTACTTTAAAGATGGAGTAATTAAAAAATTATTAATAATTTAATTATGACTTGCCGTCTACTACTTTAACGAGACATTTTATAAACCGTTATTCAAAAATGACCAGTCATTACAGAAGATTTCTACTTTAAATATGACCAGTCATTTTTAAATTTGCTTGCAAAGTAGTGACGGGCAAAATCATTTTTTCGAAAAAGCTCATTTATCATTCGCATTCAAGAACCGTTCACGGAAGGTCATACATGGATGACTATGACTGTTAATCTCTCTGTTCCTTGCCGATCTGTTTTTGTATGACTTCTTTTGTGTTAAGAGCAACCATGCATGGCATTGAAGCTGGCTTTTATATATAATTCACTACTACATAGATGCTTAACTTTTATTTTTTTGTTTTTTTTAATTTTTTTTGTTACGTTTGACCTCTAAGTCAAAAATTTTAACTTAAAGTTTGGTATATATTGCGCTACTGCCAACCTAACTTCTCATTGTATTGGAAAATTATTCTGTGTTATAAGTTTATTTTTATCATTTTAAAAATCATTAAAAATAAGACTGGTCGGTCACTTTAAAATCCTTCTTTAAAAGTGACCAGTCATTTCAAAATCAAAAATAATCCGCAACTAACCCCACCCATGTCTACATTCAAAACTGACCTGCTGCTGTTGTACTTGGGTCAAATACTCCTGACTCTGGCTTTCCCCGATCTGCTGAAACACACCCTGGCCCTGAACCTGGGGGTAATCCTGAACGGAGGCGGGCTGCGATATAGTCGACAGCCGCCTGTGATCGGGCAGTTGGGGATCGAAAGTGGGCATGGGAGGCAAGGAAGCGGTGGACACCCTATGCTGCTGCTCCTTGACCTGCTGCAGGTGTTGCTGAGCCAATTTGTGTTGCAACTCGGCCAAATTCATCGGCGGAACTTCGGTGGTGGACAGACGATGCCCGACTGACGCTGACGCTGATTGCTGTTCCTGTGGTACTATTTCGGGAGGAAGCGGTTGGGCCGGCGGCTGTTGGATAACCTACAACAAAAAATACAATTTTCACAAAAAAAAAAAAATTGCTACAGAACATACCGTACTAACCTGTTGTGTCTGCTGCTGCTGCGGCGGTTGAGGCATAACCTGCTGAGGACTTTTCTCCGCGTAAGCTTGATTGGCCTGCTGTACGTATTGCTGCTGTTGGTACACCTGCTGGTGATCCACCGTCGGCTGCTGAATGAACTGCTGCGTCTGTTGCTGCTCTGCGTACTGTTGGTACACCTGCTGATCTTGTTCCTTAGGCTGAGGTTGAATATACTGTTGCGGCGGCTGCCCCTGGTAAGTCTGTTGCTGCTGCTGCGGCTGTTGCTGTTGCGGATAACTCTGCTGGTTTGGTTGCTGATAAGTCTGTGGCATCTGCTGATATGTTTGTTGCTGAGTGTAACCGGACTGTTGTTGCTGTTGAGAGGGTTGTTGATAGCTCTGTTGCTGTTGGAAGGCTTGCTGTTGCTGTTGTTGGGGCTGTTGGTAACTTTGCTGTGGCTGCTGCTGGGCGAACTGCATGTCTTGTGATATTGTCGGAACGCTGGATATCCTGTGCAACACCTGCTGCTGCTCCTGTTGTTGCTGCTGCTGCTGCTGCTGGCTTTGTGGGTAGCTCTGCTGTTGCTGATATGTTTGCTGTTGGTAACCTTGTGGGCTATCTTGGTAGCTTTGCTGCGTCTGATAACCCGGCTGAGACGTCGTCATTTGACCTTGATAACCTGGCTGCTGCTGCTGTTGTTGCGGGGGTTGTTGATAACTTTGCGCGGGTGGAGGTTGCTGATAAGCGGCCTGCTGCTGATAGTTCGGTTGCTGGGCGTAAGTTTGCTGTTGTGGCTGCTGTTGGTAACTTTGTTGCTGTTGATAGTTACCCATCGTCTGTTGTTGGTCAACTAACCCTTTCTGTACCATATCCAACTGACTGTCAACACTAAGTCTGTGTTCTTGTTGTAACGGAGCAGAATGGAGCATATCCGGTTGCGAAACGCTAGATATCTTGTGTTGGCTGTCTTGGGCCTGTTGCACGTGTAGATACTCGGCTTGTTGTGGGTGGCCTTCTTGTATATAATTCTGCTGGACGAACTGTGTTGGTGCTGGTTGTTTATGTATGATCGGTTGTTGTTGAGCTGGCTCCATCGAAGTCTGTCTCTGTAATACTGGTGGGCTCTGGTGCTGATCTTGTGGCATCTGCTGCTGTTGTTGCTGCTGCTGCTGGGACTGGTATTGGGGCTGTTGTTGAACTTCCGGTTGCTGCATCATGGGCTGTTGTTGGGCGTACTGGTGTTGTTGCATCATCGTGCTGTCTGTTTGTTGTTGGGCTTGAGGTTGCTGTTGCTGCTGAACGTACTGAGTTTGCATAGGTGGTTGTCCTTCGGTATGTTGTTCGACCATGGATTGTTGCTGTTGTTGATACTGCTGTTGCTTCTCTTGGATGATGTTCTGTTGTTGTTGTTGTTGGTACTGGACCTGTTGCTCGTTGGACTGCAAGACTTGTTGCTGGTTCTGTTGCGGATAGTTCTGCTGTTGCTGCCCTGTGTACTGTTGTTGTTGTTGAGAATACTGTTGTTGCTGCTGCTGGGTCGGTTGGGGCTGTTGGTAGCCGGCAACTTGTTGTGGGGTCCCTTGCTGCTGAGACTGCTGATAACCTACATTTTGTTGCTGGCTTTGCGGTTGTTGGGGCTGTTGCTGTTGCGGTTGTTGATTAACAGCTGCAGATTGGGCTTGTTGCTGCTGTTGTTGGGAGATCTGTTGCTCCACCTGCTGTTGCAGGTACTGTTGGTACTGCAGCTGGTGAGCCAGTGCTTCCTCTTCCTTGCTTTTCTTCTCTCGCTCTTTAGTGATTTGAGTTATTTGGGTCTTCAACAGCTGGGCTACTGTCTTGGCGTCATCCTCAAAGATGATACCCGACTTGGCCTGAAATAAAAATTTTGGTCTCACCTTCTAAAGTCTTGAAAATATTGTGTTAGCACTGTTATTGAATACAACCGTTTTCTTAAATTTTTCTATACTTACAGACAGCGTTAGAACCAAATCAAGCTGTTTATTAACGCAACACAATAAGTCTACAAGAATTTCAGTAACAAATATCATATTAGTTTACACCAATTAACAGGAATTTACAAAAAAAACACTTACAAATATGATAAATAGTACGGCCAATTCTAATATTTTTTTCAAGTCAGATCAACTTCAATTCTCAAAAATGACATTGTCAAAGTGACAAACTAAACAAAGCCACTAGACAAGAAGTGGAGCACTTGCTCTTTTCTCAAGTACAGAATTTTGCAAAAAAATTAGATTTTTCATTTGTACAGCAGCTTGACTTACTTTTTTATAACAACTTGTACAATGAAATTTAATAAAGAAGTACAAGTAACTTGACAATTCCAAACGAAAAATTTAATTAATTATTCAAGTAGTTCAAATGAACTCACCATTTCCTCTGCGATTGTGTTGTATCTGTCAGTTTCCATATCGAACTCAAATTGTATAGCCTCGTTCTCCTTGTGTTTGTGGGTTCTCTTTTTGGGGTCAATAACCCTTAAACGAAAAACAATCTTTTTATTTTCCTGCGAAACAACCTCTACTTTCAAACCAACGTCCTCTTCGAAGAACGCGTGACTTAGCAGGTCCTTGACTTTCGGCCTGTCCTCCTTCCTCGGCCTTATGCAGCTCTCTATGACGTCTTTCACTTCCGGGTTCTGCACCTTGTCGAAACTAGCAGGCTTCACTCCCTAAAAAAAATACGCAATGTTTTTATAAACGTACGATTAATCGCTTTAAACCGTTACTAACCGATATAACCTTTTTGTAAATCTGGGCAGGACCAGTGCATTCGGAATAAGGATACTCGCTGGTAGCCATCTCCAACATACACATACCGAAAGCGTAGACATCGACGCCTTCGTCGTAATGCTCCTCGTACATTTCCGGTGCCATAAACTCTGGAGTTCCAATAACCTGTAGAAAAAAATGTCATACAGTTGCAGTAAATGGAATACTGATTCGGTCTCACTCACGGATTTAGCGAAACTTCTATTTTTCAACGTAGCCAAACCCAAATCGCCGATTTTAACGGACCCTGTAGTGCCAGTAATGAATATGTTGTCGCATTTCAAGTCCCTGTGGATTATAGGGGGAGATCTCGAATGTAGAAATGCTAGACCCTTTAATATCTGCCTACACCAAGATTTTAACACCTTGGGATTTATTTTCTTGAATCTACGCAGATACCTATCGAGAAAAAAATCGTTACTAACGACGAACCTCAAATAAATGTATCTCTACTCCAAGTTACGCGAAACTAGCAGGCAGTGCTTATTCTCAACATGTAAACCATGCGATGTGTGGAGAATGTGAGTGGTAATGATAGTAGTTCTATTATAACTTCAACTCTTGTATCGACATCCCACATTCGTTGATCTTTTTTCTTCAATCAAGGTCATTTTTAAAATAAAAGCCCTGAATCTTCCTAGGGATCCCATACTTTCATCACTTTTTAATAGATGATAAACATTTTAAACAATTACTTTTGCTGAAGAACTGCACATTTCCGTAGCATCACTCACTGACATTTACGTGAAAATAACACTTGTACGCTTATGACAGGCACTGACAACTATTAGCAAGGAATGTCAAGAAGTCAAATTTAGGCTCAGTCTCTCCTTTTGTATACGATAAGCAAAGATAGAAATAGGCGCTTGTAAAAATGCAATGTCTCAACTTGGTTGAACAAATTATTGGAACGCTATGATAAATGTACGACATATTACAATTTCCACACAGAGAATACACAAAATTATTTTATCAGTAGTAAAGATTGTGGAACTGTTGTACTTACGTTTTGAGAGTACCGCTTAACATCAGCTCGGTCACCAATACGATGTTCTTTTTCTTAATGCCTGGTGACTCCCAGTAGTTGTAGAAACGTACGATGTTTGGATGTTGTAGTTTTTTCAACATCTCCGCTTCCTCCCTGAACCTTTGCCGCTCGGCACGATTTAATTTCTTTTCCTGCAGTTCGCACCAAGCTACAGCAACGCCCGTCTGCGTATCCAGACCGCGATAAACGGTCTTAAAGGAACCTCTACCGATCTGGATAAATTATAACATTATTTCAGACTTTCTACTCCAAATACCAGCTGATAATATTTAAAAGATTGGTATTTTGAACAAAAAATAGAAAATTATTAAAAAATTTGTTTATAAAATTTAATTATTAATTTTTCTGTCACTAACCTCCTCCTCATATTTGAAAAATCTGCCGTCAGGACTGACAGCAATCGGCCTGTATACGTCATCGTCTTCATCTTTCCCCTCCTTCGTCAGACTCAAATTAACGACGACGGCCTGCTCCACCATATCGGGGTTATTCTCCGCATTCTCATCGTTCCTGTGCAACTCATCTATGGTCTGTTCGGTAATCTCAGTCATCTCAGTGCTTTGGAAAAGGTTCTTGGGGATGTTATATTTCGCCCCCACCTCCAACAGTCTTTTGTCGTTCTGAACAACCTCCGTATCATCCTCGGCATTGGAATCGGTCTCGATGGGTATCAAACTGGTCACGCCGCCGTGCTTCACCGACTTCCGCTGCTTCTCGGAGATGATCCTGTCCACGTTATCGCTCAGCTCCATCATGACCTGGTTGATGGCCAATTCCGAATCGTGTATTTCGGAGCAGGAGTCGTGGTACTCTTCGTATTCCTCTACGAAGTTCCTGGCGTCGATTAGGTTGTCGGTCGATGGCGTCTGGATGATTTTCGGGATGTAAAGGGGGCTCAGGGTGTCGGCGGTGTTGCATCTTATGCGGCTTTTGTAGTCGGAGGAGGTGCGACGTACGAGGTTAACGGGACCCACGCACTTCTCCTTCATGCTTTCCAGGTGCAGTTGATTCTTCTCGATTATTACGACGGCCATTTCTAAGATGCTGTCCAATATCGACTCCACAATGGGTTTTATCTCGTAACGGGTTAAGTTCTCTGCATAGTAGAAAACAGTGGTGCAGATAGATAAATAGTAAAGATTACATGTTATTTTGTACGTTTTTCTATAGAATTTTTTTATCACAGTGCAATACAATGTGGTTATGCGTTACTAAAATTTTTATAGCAATTCTTGAAAAATAGATTATCCGTACATATCTAAATGATAACATTATTACCTTATCTATCCAAAAAAAGAGTATATATGAAAAAACCGAAAATAATTACCAGAAGTTAATTCTATCACTAAATAATCATAGAATATCAAAAGCACAGTGATAGAAGTACGGATCCAAAAACTAAACTAGATTTATTAAAGCGGTAAACATATTTTTTTTAATATAAATATATAGTTGTATAATTCTTTCAAATTCCTATAAAATTTAAATAAACAAAAACAGGTAACATAATATCTGTTTTGTACTCTTTTAATCAAAGGAAAACAATAACAATAACATAATATTCACTTTAAAATACTATTCAATTGATGATAAATTTTATATCTCTCATGTTTAACGCCACATGTAAATCTAAAACTTTTTTTACAGCATCGTTATCAGCAAATAATTCATTTTCCTTTCTTGGCTCATTTCCAAAATGAAAACAAGGTTTGCATTACGTGCAATGTCCAATTTTAAGTCGTACTATTTATGTGATCAAATCATTTAAATACAACTTTGTAATAGAAATTTTAACGTGACGCTCATTCAAAAAATAAAGATTAGATTAACGGACCCATAATTTTTACTGAAGGGATTAAGAATTTATAGGCATGACAGAAAGCTATTTAAAAAAAAAAGAATTCTTTTAGAAGATATTTATATAATAATGTTTAAGAAACAATAAATTTTCTTTCTTATTATTAAACTGGATAATCCCACAGAAATAATTCCAAGAATTTATATTTCTATAATGTTTGATCAAGATAAGGAATTACCTTATCACAATAATAAAAATAACAAAACATTGTTTATTCAAAAGACATAAGGCGAATACACTGGACAATTTCCTGATGGGAACAACAAAAAATCTATCCACACTTAGCAAAGAACAAAATAAACCAGTACTTACCCAAATTAATGTATAAAATAAAATAAAGTTAAAAAGAAACTAAACAATTACAACAGAATGTCACCACCTCATGCATGTTTACAGTTTATTCAATGCTTTTCTTAATAATGGACTTCGACGGGGACATTCTTCACGAATGACTTCCTTAGATCATTCTGTCATTGGGAGATCAATCACAATCAATTTTGTCAAAATTAATAACCAACAGTGAAAACAATTTGATGACAATGTCCCCCTGTGTCAATATTGACATTATTAGCTGTCGGAGATCCCAAATAAAAAACAAACTTAATGACATTTTTAAATTATCTTATTACCAACTTTGCCCTAGTTGACTTTCAAATTTATGTTTAAAAAAAATGGGTACTGTAAATCTAATTTTGCATAGTGATTTGCATACATTTCAATAGGTACATATCTAAATCAATTAGAAAATATGTACTTATTTATTTACATAGTCTTAATGACAAATGATAAAAATTTATATCTTTGGTCAACATTCCTATCATATTTGTAAAATTTTAAAGTCACTAATTTCACATATTTGAGGGTGTTTCTATCATACTGCCATTTTCAATTTTTTTTTTTAAATTTATCTAATATACAGGGTGATTCACAAATAGTGACCAAAAATTAAACCTCATATTCTTTGGTGAATTTTAAGCAGAGTATTTCCTATAAAGTTTTTATCTAGGATGCTTCGTTGAAAAGATATAGGGTGTTAAAACTTAAAAAATATTTTTAAATAATTTAACAACTAGTAAGTGAAATCATTTGAAATGGGGCACATGTATTTATGTAAACATTGTCCAATATCTTAGGACTTTTTCTAAAATTTAGATACTCCAGTGGCAGAGACACAAGGTATCGGTGGCATATTTTTCTAAATAAAATAGTACGCCACTGCTTTAGAGTAACAATCATGATATTTTCTGATTCGTCTTTCAATTTTCTACAATGTACTACCCTCTTATGTTTTTTTGAAAAAAGCCTGATTTTCGAGTAAAACTTAAAAAACTAACTGAGAACACACTTCCATATTAGAATATAATGCTTTTTAAAATTTTATAGTGGACTGCGATAGCAACTTTGACATTCTAAGCAGTTAGAAGAAAGAATAAATAATGCTTTTCATCAGATTCAAGTAACAATAAATTTAGAATAAATTACATTTTCGTTACTAAAAAGATGTTGGGCCTGTGTTCGTGGAAATGGAGGTATTTTTGACAATTTATTCAAATAAAAATAATAAAATCATTAAAATGATGACTAATGTTATTAATTTCTTTATTCGAATAAATAACTGAATGATTAGTGCTTGTCATGTCATTTAAGTAAGTGTTTTCAGTTGGTTTTTTAAGTTTTACTCGAAAATTAGTCTTTTTTCGAAAAACATAAGAGTAGTAATTTGTACAAAATTGAAAGACCAATCCGAAAATATCAAGGTTGTTACCATAAACCAGTGGCGTACTATTTATTTAGAAAAATATACCATCAATCTGTATCTCCGCCACTGAAGCATTTAAAGTTTAGAAAAAAGCCTCAGACTTTAGACAATGTTTACATAAATACATGTGCCCCATTTCAAATTATTTCACTTACTAGTTTTTAAATTATTTAAAAATATTTAAAATATTTTTTTAAGTTTAACACCCTGTATCTTTTTAACGAAGCATCCTATATAAAAACTTTATAGGAAAGACTCCCCTTAAAATTCACCAAAGAATATGACGTTTCGTTTTTGGTCACCGTTTGTGAATCATCCTGTATGATAAAGTAATTTGGAGAAATCCATTAGAACTATTTTTCTTGCCATTTCATTTCATTACTTATATTTTATATTATACAGGGTTGGGCAAATGTGTCGGAACACCTGTGTACAGGGTGAACAAAAGTGTTCAATGGAGCGCCCTGTTTATTTTAACATTTTTAGAGACAGATTTTTACCGATTACAATGACATAGAGTTTGGTGGGTCTATGATTTATTGTTTTCCAATTGTTGAATAAAATAATAAAATAGAGAATAAAAATTATATTTAATGAAAGTGAAATTTGTTATTGCAAAATATGGGGCACTTGAATATAAAAAAAAAGATTCATAACAAATATTCAAACTGGTCACCTTCGGCAGCCTGACAATCGATCAAGGAAGGCTCTTAAGGAATTTTGAATGGCCGTCCTAATTAGATCTTCCAATTCTTCTAACGACTGAGGTTTGGTCTTGTAGACGAGATTTTAAATAACCCCAAAGGAAATAGTCTAACAGANATTTTTCTTGCCATTTCATTTCATTACTTATATTTTATATTATACAGGGTTGGGCAAATGTGTCGGAACACCTGTGTACAGGGTGAACAAAAGTGTTCAATGGAGTGCCCTGTTTATTTTAACATTTTTAGAGACAGATTTTTACCGATTACAATGACATAGAGTTTGGTGGGTCTACGATTTATTGTTTTCCAATTGTTGAATAAAATAATAAAATAGAGAATAAAAATTATATTTAATGAAAGTGAAATTTGTTATTGCAAAATATCAAACTGGTCACCTTCGGCAGCCTGACAATCGATCAACGAAGGCTCTTAAGGAATTTTGAATGGCATGCCGTGATATTTCTTGAACGGCCGTCCTAATTAGATCTTCCAATTCTTCTAACGACTGAGGTTTGGTCTTGTAGACGAGATTTTAAATAACCCCAAAGGAAATAGTCTAACAGACTTAAATCTGGTGATCGTGGTGGCCATTCAATATATCCTCTTCATTGTAAATACAGATTAGAGATCAAAATTTCTCTAAGAAAGAATGGACCGATGATGTGTCATCTGATTATGGCCATTTATACATTTAATTTCTGAGGATATTGTGATTTTCTGCTATTCAATGTGGATTTTGATCACTCCAGTAATGACAGTTATGTCAAATTACAAAACCGTTCAAGCAGAATGTCGATTCATCGGAGAAAGGTATATTATTGACAAAGTTTCGATTATTCTCAATGTTGTTCATTATTTCCTCACAAAATTGCATCCATATATCAGGGTTATCCTCAACCAATTCTTGTACTAAATGTACTTTATACGGATGTACTCGCTAATATTGTGATATAAGGCTACTTGAGGCACTGAAGTTTTTGGTTCTTCTTATAGATTGAGAAGAACATCAAATGATTTATCTTCATTTGTAGCTGATTTATGTGCGCCAGATTTTGTAAGATTTTTAACACTTCCCGTTTCATGAAACTTTTTTACAACCCTTGAAACTGTTGATTTTGAAATATGGGGATTTCTTTCAGAGAAAGTTGCATTAAAAATATTGCATGCATCTTGCAGATATTTTTTCCTGACTCCAAAACCAACCATCATTAACAACTAAATGTAAACAGCCAACTCTTTATTTTATTGTTTTATTCAACATTTAAAAAACAATAAATCGCAGACCCACCAAGCCCTATATCGCTGTAATAGGTGAAAGTCTGTTATTTTAAAAATGTTAAAATAAACAAGGCACTCCATTTAAAAAAAACTGCTGTATCTCTAAAAATACAGTAAATGTTGGAAATTAAGGAACGTCATTCAAAAGAAAGGTATTTTTTAATCAAACTTATGGTTCACCCTGTACACAGATGTTCCGACACATTTGTCCAATCCTGTATATTTTATTTAAAAACAAAAATAACTACATACTCAAAACTAAAAACTGTAAATATTCACCCTTACCTTTATTCTCGATTTCCTTTCCCTTTTCCTTCTCCTCCTCATCCTTATCGTTGAACAGCTGGAACCTCTTCCTAAATGGCGCTAAATTCTCTATGATATTATCATAAGGTATACTACTACAGCTATGGGTCCTAATCTTTTTTTCAGGCTTCAGAATTCTTTCGTCTTCATCCTCCATTATTTTCATAAACGTATATCTATTACGAAATGAAATAAATAAAAATCACAAACTCGAAATCTGTCATTGTGCACACCCAATCGACAAAAATGTTTATGTTCGACAAAAATTAGAAGATTTGGCGTCGTAAAGTACCTAATACCCATTAATTATCCATTACGCGTTATTTACCTGATAACCGATATGCAGTGGCTACTACTTTCTTATACCTTGTAATAAATTTTATGCTTTATATCTATAAACTTCCATAAAAAACAATATTATTTATTGTTATATACTAATTATTAATTAATCTTTAAATCAATATTTTAATACACAGGGTGTAACTTTTAAGAGGAAGGTAAGTTTTTAGTGGCAATAGTATGTTTCTCCTGAATAGTAATATGAAATTATTTCATTTAATCAATAGTTTTGCCTTTTGTTATCTTTTTAAATCAACTATATGAAACCAAAGGAGAGTGAAACTACAATGGAAAATAATTTTGTAAAAACAGATTGCTTTTATACAAGGTGATTCACAACTTATCCAAAAAATTTTGAGAATAGATGCGGCACGAGAAATGGAGTCAATATTGTAAAAAATTTTTGTAAAATCCTTATAGTTTCTGAGAAAAAAATTATTGAAGTTATAGCACATTAAACCACTACATAGCTGGACAACTGTAGTCTCTAGCGTTATTCACAATACGCGTGGAGAACCATGTGACTCCTAATACTGAAATCCGTCGTTGCGGTAGTTTTTACCTGTTATCTGTGGTATTTACATCAGTTTTTTAGTAGTTAGTGTCAAAAATGGCTTGCGTGTATAGCAACTCAGAGTTGATGGATATCGTTTTAATTTATGGTGAAGCAAGACAACATTTGTATTATGGTGAAGTATTTGTGTTATGGTGAAGCAAGACATCATTTGTGTTAGTTCGTAGAAAGTGAGTAAGACGGACCCAAATGTGTTTACACGTGAGTGGATAAAATTTTGAACAATTGCTGTTGCAGCATCGGGTATGTCAAATGATTTTATTATTTAAAAACACAAATTAATTTTATTAATAATTAATAAAGGCAAAAGCATTTGAATTTGCCGATATAAAATAGGTGCGATAAAATTCTATTTACATATTTCTTTCCTTGCGAAAGTTTTTGTCCGTTTTTATCACGCCGCCATACCGGTCGCATTGTGCGAGGTCAGGTTTTACAGTGGACCAGTTTCCAGTGCCGTGCAGAAGTGTATTTTTAAATCAATTTCGAACTGACCTTTTTGATTTTTTCTTTACAAAATTGTATTTATAAGGGTCCCCTGTACATCCAGAATTTTTTTTTTGGATAAGTTCTGAATCACCCTGTATAATTTTACAACATATTATTTTGAAGTCACTATACTTTTTTTATGCCAATGCCGACAAACCGGTGAACAATTTTGAAGTGTTCTTAAAAAAATAAAATTATTGTATGATCTATGAAATGTTAACTAATCAAATTGGTATGTACCGATAAGCATAAGGTACCAATTATAAGTTGAACTAATTTATGTTTTAAAATAATAATTTTTGCTACCTATTTTATGAAATATTTACATAGAGACTTCCTTTAGAAGCATGTACCAATAGTTCATTTTTGTAAAAACAAAAAAAAAACTTTTAAAAACTTAATTTTTGTTTAAACTTTTTTTTAGTAATTTTCATACCTCACCACTGGACAAGCTAGTGTACACAATCCCACATCACTTGCCAGGATTTACTTTTGTTGAGTGGGTGTTTGCCACACAAATGGTACTTAACAAGTAACCTGGCAAAAATCTCAAGCAGTAATCAATAATAATAAATGAAATACACAAAAATAAATAGTCTGTTTACTCACATGATTTTTGTAACACTTCTCTGAATATGTTCCTGTCAGATATTAGCGAATTGGCGTTCAAAGCTCGCATAATCTCTTAAATGTGTAACCTTGCCACTTTTAACTATGTGAAGCCCAGGATACAGGTTTCGTATGGAATTTAATAACGAATTGCTTTCTATTTAAATATAACTTTTAACGGTCAACACTAGGCAAAGAATAAAATGGCTAACTGTACCTTGAGGTCCCTCAGTTTTTACAGACGCTTGATATACCACCTTCATCGTCGCTTCCCTCTGAATAATGGTCACTAATTTGACAATAGACCTGCACCACATCAAATGTGGAATAACTGACCCTCTTTGTTTCGTCATCGTTGACCCGCACTATCTCCCTTCACGCGCTGTAAGTTGCCTACAATTCATGTATTTGTAATACATGAATATTACAGTGACGGCGTACACAAGAATTATAGTGCATTTTAAAAAACTAATCATAACTCATTTATTTATTTGATTTAAAAAAAAAAGAATTTCATATTCGTATTCAGGCAAACACGTACTATTACCCCTAAAAAACTGACCTCCACTTAAAGCTACACAAAAATACTAATTTGATAGATTTGTACTATTTTTTTAAAGCTCTATGACTAGTTTGTGCATCACAATGTCGATAATCTATGACATTGACCTAGTTTAGGTGAACTAGATATGAATCCACCCGATGTGATATGACGATACACCCTTGGCCAAAAAAATTAATTAACAGCTTTAATTCGGTAAAACAAAAATAGTCCAATATTCACTGCTTGATATTATTACGCATATTTTAGTTTTTAATTTATCATTTTACGAAAAGATGTTTGTAATATGGCTTTGTGTGAAAAGTTAAAAAATAATTCCAGTTTCACAGCGGAATACGGTAGCGTCCCGTTCAAAGTTACACCCAGTAAATGTGTTATTTACATTTATATTACTTGAGGCCACGTCTATAGACATTTGAATATTTAAAGAGCGTGTGGTTTCTTAACTGCCAATGAGTAACTAACAGGTATAAAGGAAAGAGTAATTCCGGGTGGTTACCCGGGTATGAAAATAATCGATGAGTATCCTTAGCACGCACCTATTTAAACTCGTTGTGGTGGTCACGATCTTAGTAGTCTCCGTGTCTGTCGTAACTGTCCGGATAGTAGTGATGGTCTCACGGGGCGGCGTCTTCTCCGACCCCGATCTCGTCGAGCCCTGCTTCACCCTGCCGATGTTCTCGCCGCTCTCCGGCAGGAACTCGACGCTCACCGCCGGCTTTACCTTATCTCTTTTGCCTTTCTTCTTATTACCGTTCGTCTTAGGCCTGAGCTTAGTCTTTTGCTGCTTGCTGGGAGGCGTTTTGAATACATCCTCGTCGGTCGAAGAGGCTAGCTTCGAAGTGACCCTCGGTTCGAGATCTGTATCGATCGTGTGATAGCCCTTGCTCTTCGGATCTACCACGTCTTGCGCGACCTGATCGATGAATTCTATATTGTCGATCTTATCAAAGGCAGAGAGCTTCTCCGGTGTGGCCACACTGCCTTTGATGGGTGGAAGATTGGACGAGTCCTACAAAGAAAAGGTCGTTTCTGTTGACTGTTATCATGACAAAACTCATATTTAATAAATATGCATTAAATTATAGCCACCATACAGGATGTTCGGAAACTATGAGAAAAATTTTAGGACTGATCATAAAAAGAATAGAAGTTCCTGCGATACTTCCGAAAACGAAATACTAACAGAGTTACATAGTCTTCATTATTTATTTTATTTAATGTCTTATACATTTTGTTTCAATGATGCGATTTTTTTTTTAATTACTACAAGAACACAAAAAATGCTATCATTCAAAGAAATATCTTGTATTCTAGTCGTTCTATGATCACCTTGACAAAGACTAATCACATAAAAAATTGCTAGCACAAAGAGGTCTATTCGTTTCCAAGCTTTACTTAGGCAGCCTTCAAATATTAACAGAAAAAAATGGCAATGCTTTGTGCTTTTTTGAGTAGCGATGAAATTTAAAAATATGATGTATATTTTGCAGGTTATAACTCTCCCACAATCGAACAAATAAAATTTAAATATTTTGTAGTAGAGCGCCCGAGTCCTCGAGTTACGTCGAACAATATTTTAACACCAGTTTTCTATCTAACGTCAATGATTTCGAGACATGTCATGTTAAAGCCTTTGGATATTTACAGAATGCCATAAATATTTTTAAGGAACATGATCCAAATTTTGAAAGAAATTGTTAATAACAAAATCATTACTTCCTATCAGTGTTATCGAGAAATGTACGAAAACAAGAAAAAAGAAGGGAAATAAACTTTTATTACCGGTACTTTATGACCTGCTGGATATCGATGCGACGGACGCAGAGCACATGGTTCGGCAATTCTCAATGCACACGTTTATCGTACATATCATTCAACTTTATACATTATATTCATATTCTGAATATGAATAAATTATGTTTTTCTACTAATTGTTGCATCTTGTTCTTATTTTAAAAGTAACGATTGTAAAAACCGTATTTCAAAAAAAATTGAAAAATTTTTGATATTTTCAATTATACATTTATAAATACAAAGCTGTGTGTAAAAAGCAAGACTTTATCTGAATGCAAGTTAAGAGCAATTGCCAAGACAATCCAGGCATAGCTGCTCTACATGGATATATTGTCCAGGTAAAAACGATTTGGAGCTGGGATTTGGAGCCTAGCCTGGTCCACTATAATCCTTTTTATTGCAGTCTCCTTGGAGTCCGCATTAAGGCATATCAAATTATTTTTAGGATAAAAGTAAGAGTAGTGACTATAAATCAGATAAGAGTGCGCTATTAATTTTTATATCAAAGTAAACTTGTATGAATAAGATCGAATAATTTTTAGTAGTGATGTAAAATAGCATGCTATTTAGTTTTGGGTGATATATATCAAAATATATATCATTATATATATCAGATGAATTTTGTTAAAAAAAAACTATACTCAAATTAGTTTTTTTATATTGCTAATGCCTTGCTGATTAATTTGACACCAAATACATGTCATATATATGAACTTTAAGAAAAGTTATCAAGTGATCTTTATTTTTTTTCATATTTAGATTGGAATTTTATATTTTTTTTATCATACTGACTTCTAATTTTTGTTGCGTGCTACTGACTGTTTATAAGCAAGTACGCTGTTTATTAGCAATTTAGTTTTATCAACCCAGAAATAAAAAATGGGAAATTTCTAGAACAAGAAAATTTAGTCTTTGTATATCACAATACGTACTTAAAAAAAATTAAAGATAAAAATTGAAATAAAAATTATCAAAAACTTATGATAATAAAGAAACTGCTTTAAAGTAGTACTTAAAAATCTGAAAATTTAGGGGTGTACTATAAATGGGGAGACCTAAGAGCGCACGTAATTTCAACTCACCCCTTCCACCCTAGGGGGTGGGGTGAAGGTTTTTTTTAGACGTACCCTATTTATTTTGCGATTTTCGGATTGTACGCGTAAAACTACCCCCAGAAACGCGTTCTTGGGGGTACGTCTAAAAGACCACCCCTCACCCCCTCTGCACCTACTAAGGTGGAAAGGGCCAGTTGAAATCAGGTTCGCTCTTAGGTCTCCCCACTTATAGTACACCCCTAAAATTTCAGATTTCTATATTTATTTTTGAAGGAGAAAAATGCTCATCGAAAAAACGACAAAATCCATACGAGGGTGGTGGTTTGGTTTTTGTGCGAATTCGGCAAGAACGCGCTTTCGGGGGTAGTTTTACGCATAGAATCCGAAACTCGCAAAATGAGTAGGGTACATCTAAAAAAACCACCCGTCACCCCCTAGGGTGGAAGGGGTGACTTGAAATTACGTGCGCTCTTAGTTCTTCCCATCTATAGTACACCCCTAAAATTTCAGATTTTTATATTCATTTTTGTCGGAGATATGCCAGGTACCCAAGAGCTACTACAGTCCAACTCAAGCCTACCACACCACAAGTTTTTAGTTTTAAAATGTAAGGTTAAGTTTGAAATTTGGCTTTATTGATGAAATGGCGGGAAAATTGATATATATCAGCTATTAACATATATATAATAGTGATATGTATCAAAAATTGATATATATCAATTTGTTATATATTTTCACTCACATCACTAATTTTTAGTAATAATAATAATAATAAACATAACATTTTTGTCGTTTATAACAGTAAGTTAACAAAATTAATGGAAAAATGTTGAATGAAAAAAATAAAATAAACAGTGTACCTGAACATAATCTTCAATCAACCAATGTGCATTTTAACTCCAATGCAGCCAACCTAAATTTTAGTCAAACTTAATTTTGTACGAGATCTGAGCTAGCATGTTTTCCAAGCTTAATTTGAGAGAGCATGTTTTCCAAGCTCAATCTGAGGTAGTATGTTTTCCACACTTAATTTTAGATAACATCTTTTCCAAGTACAATTTAAGATAGCATGTTTTCCAAGTTTAATTTGAGATAGCAAGTTTTCGTAGTAACGCGTCGATATATTCTGATAGAACCTAACTCAGGATTCATAGTTCAAAAGTAATAAAATCCCCTGACTTATAAAAATAAATCCAGGTCACTTGTAGTTCATTTTTACACTAATTGGTGTTTATGCATTAAACTTTTTCTCGTCTGGACTCCATAATCTTTTTTATATCCAAAGAACCTCTTATGAGGGTTTCAAAACCACAAATAGTTTTCTCTTTCAAGAACTCAGGGGCCGGCTTTTACAAAATTTCCAGTTGCAAACATCAAATTCCCTGACTTTCATGGCAATGCTTTGTGCTTTTTTGAGTAGCGATGAAATTTAAAATATGATGTATATTTTGCAGGTTATAACTCTCTCCCACAATCGAACAAATAAAATTTAAATATTTTGTAGTAGAGCGCCCGAGTCCTCGAGTTACATCGAACAATATTTTAACACCAGTTCTCTATTTAACGTCAATGGTTTCGAAACATATCATGTTACAAGCCTTTGGATATTTACAGAATGCCACAAATATTTTTAAGGAACATGATCCCAATTTTGAAAGAAATTGTTATTATCAAAATCATTACTTCCTGTCAGTGTTATCGAGAAATGTATGAAAACAAGAAAAAAGAAGGGAAACAAACTCGAATTTATATAAAAATTAATAGCGCACTCTTATCTGATTTCACTACTCTTGAGTCTTGAAACACTTATTTTTTTTTTTTCACATAATCTGGGATGCACAATTTATTCTGAAAATAATTTTATATACCTTAATGCGGACTCCAAGAAGACTGAAATAAAAAGGATTATATAGTGGACCAGGCTAGGCCCCAAACTCCGGGTCCGAATCGTTCTTACTACACCTCAATAAAAACAAATGGCTTCTTAAAGGTACGGTAGCCGCGTGCTTGCATAGACTTTGGAAATGAAATCAAGTATGCGACACTTTTATTACCGGTACTTTATGATCTGCTGGATATCGATGCGACATACGCAGAGCAGATGAGATGCACATACACAGTTCGGCAATTCTCAATGCACACGTTTATCGTACATATCATTCAACTTTATACATTATATTCATATTCTGAATATGAATAAATTATGTTTTTCTANATGCATTAAACTTTTTCTCGTCTGGACTCCATAATCTTTTTTATATCCAAAGAACCTCTTATGAAGGTTTCAAAACCACAAATAGTTTTCTCTTTCAAGAACTCAGGGGCCGGCTTTTACAAAATTTCCAGTTGCAAACATCAAATTCCCTGACTTTCATGAATATTTTTACAATTCCCTGACTATTCCCTGATTTTCATGAAGAATAATTTATCCAACTTTTCCCGGTATTCCAGGACGCTACGAACCCTGTAACTCCTTCACTTTATATAGAACTAGATGATGCCGTAAGCACGAGGACTGCCTGCATAAATAAAACAGGATTTTTACATAAAAGAAAATTATAATTATACAATTGTACGCATTGATATCTGTTTAATCATCTTTAATTACATTGCCCGATTTATTACTGTAAAATTGAATAATAATTTACTAGGACGCAAAATATTTTTGAAAAACATGAAATGCGTTCTTTTGTGGAAACGGTTAATGTTGACTTGGAGCAGAAGGTTTTTTAATGATTTTTAATAGATATTGCATGGAATAACTACTACACGGATTAGTGCCTCAACCAACATTAAATTATACCCGTAATATCTAGTAAATTTTTTAAATGTTTAATATTATGGTAATGATTGTAAATAAAACCATAATGAATTAATATTCTACTCTATAAAGGACTTTCAAGCCCTTTAAGGCTTTAGAATATTGATAATCTTTTCATTTTGTAGGTTCAGTTTGTTACAAACAATAACAGTATCAAACAGAAACTTTGACTTGATTGAAAAAAGTTTAGTATTATTTTTATGACTATAATTACTTCCGAAATTGCTTGTTCAGTTTCCGGACAGCCTGTACGTTTATGGTTTAAATTTGAGCGAAAATGAGATAGTTTCCCAATTTCTTAAGGTCTTATTTAAATCACGATCAACATTTTGGAATTATGATAAACTATGTAGTACATTTACAAAAATATCAACTGTGATAATTGTAATCCAGAGAATAAAATTTTACTAGAAGTAAAACTAATGCAACAGCTTAATGAATCAACTTCAAGTACTTGAAGAAATATCAAATTCGCATCAAATTTGGGGACAAAAACTGAAAATGGTAAAATATTAAAAATAAAGAACACAAATTACAATAACCAACGATACAAACTACAGTGGTGATAGCGGCAAGCTCTTTAGTAGTGTTTCACTTGACAATGTCCATATCGACTTGCAGAAAGGCGTGATTAAGCGTTGTATTTTCTCTTTATTGTTTAATTTTGTTACAATCAATGTACAGTAAATCATTAACGAAGTTTAAGGTATCCTCAAAAAATTAATTCAGGATGTGAACAATCCATCAAGAATAAATTTAAACACTTTAATATTAAGCATAATACAATTAGATATTATATTAATTGACACAATGGTGCTAACACATATTTTTACACGAGATTTGGTGCTCAAACTAAAATAAAACAAAGAATATTTCATTTTTAAGCGGCATACATACAAGTATCCAATCTCGCAGATTTGTAAATTGCGATAAAAAACTCCTGGAGTAGTACTTTAAAATGGAGAAAAAAAAACAGGATTAGCTTATAGATTTTACCAGATCTCGAAGTAGTGATTATTCTGTCTCTAATATTTCAAAGTTAAGACAGTTTTCAATAACTCTTTTCTACGTGTGGCACGTTACAACACCAATCATCTATTAAATACAAAATCAATTTTATGTCAGAGATTTTGATCATATAACTAAGTATAAATTAATGATACAAAAATGTGTGTAAAATAATTCAGTTAATATACTATCGATTCTACAATTCCAATAGACAGAAATAAACAATTTCAACTTACAATTTGCCAATAGTCACTATTATTGGCCGTTTTTGGCAATGCCTACTTAACAAGATAATAAAACTCAATAATATGAATGTATTCAAAGTTACTCTGAATTCTGAACCTTCCATTTCCGATGTCATCATTCCTTTTAATTTAATATTGCAATGAAATGTAATGAACAAAAACGCATAGTTATGCCATTTACTGACTTTATTTTATCTGTATTTTACACTTGTATAGTATATTATGTAAAATTTCACTTATGTAAATAACCCAATTACAAATTATGACAAAATTTGATATGTCTCCTAAAATATACATAGTTTAGAACATTTTTTTAATGTTTATAAAGATGCTATATAAGTGAAGTGTTGTAATGCCCCACATTTGCGAAGCTGGATCTATTTCAAACACATGCTACCAAATAAATTAATTTTAAAATTTAGAGACAGCAGTTATTAGCCATAAATTAAGGAATATTAATATTTTGGAAACAGAACACAGCACGTAGCAGTAAAATCGCATCGAAAAGTAAAATTGCGCTTCTATTAGAAGCTACTAAAGGATATGCTGAATTAGGATATGTAAAAATTCCCAGTACGACGTTTAAGAACTCCAACGAGAAATAAAATCAAAATAATAGAGATGGAGACTGAAACTATCTGAATTCAGTTTCAGTATTCAGTAGATCCGATAATTTTACCAAATTTGTAAAAGATTTTTATACACAATTTCACTACGGTTTTGGTCAAACTTTTATCTATTTACTTTTTCTGAATACCTCCGCATATACAGTTCTGCTCATCAATTAAAATCTTGCTAAGATATATCTCAACACTTAATACGATAATAGATTTACTAAACAAAAAATGTAAACTTAACATTTTATAACCCTCATTTTTATACATAAGCAGAAGAAAATCTATCGAAAAAATTAATACCTTGGAGAAAATAAAAAAAATTGCTCTAGACTAGATTGTAATAATAGTTACTTTGTTAACATAGAATCTCCTAAACTAGAAGAGGCACAGAATTTGTTCAATTACAAAAAAAATGTACATTTTCATAACACTTAGGTTTATGAAATCAAATACCTTAAAAAAAATTGACTTGAATAAAGTGAAATTGAAGAAGACTTTTCTTATTTCTTTAATACAATTTTGATTGCTGAAAATCATGGAATGAAGATTGTTATGTAAACAGGTTGGTGACAAATAAGAAGCTGCTATGTCAATAGTAAATGTTTCTTTATGAATGGACAACAATATATCTCAATCTTTTTTTTAACACGTAACTATAACAGTTTGAATAATATTTAAGGAATTGACCTGCTAAATGAAGCAACTTTGAGCCTATATTATGAGCCTATATCATAAATTATGAAAAGATCTGGTTTCTGTCCAAATCTTTGAGATTCAGTTTTAATTTTGACAATTTTAAAGAAGTGAAACGACTCCATCTCTAGAAAATAATAAAACTAAAAAAAATTAAGGGGTACCACCACCTCCAGCTGCTAATTCTGTAACTAGTAAACCCCGAAAAGAAATCTGCCAACACCCTCATGCAAAAGAGTCATGCCTTTCACACTACCACTTACAGAGTGCTTTCTGGGTATGGGCGTAGGCTGCGAACATGTGACAGGGGAGGAGGACCCGGGCGCGATGAGCACCTGGGAGGCCTCCTCCCCGAGTTCGCAGGATGTGGAAGAGGCGTTCGATGTCGAACGTTTGTGGCTGGGTGTTTTGGACGAGTGCCTTGTTAGGGACTTCGTCCAGGCATGGATGCCGCGTGCGCTTCCCTTACTGGTCGTACTTGATTCGCTACCCTTTCGTGGAATCGTAGAACTATTAAAGCTGAAAGTAAAAGACGGTTTACTGCGCGGGCCTATGCAAGATTCGCTTGATACTGTAGGGGAAATAAAATAGTTATAGACGTGCAGCTGTGGCTCTTTCTTTTAATAAAACAGCATCAGACCGAAAGGTTAACAAACTTACCTTCCGGAATCAAGTTTTGGGCAGGACTGTCCCGTTTTTCTATGTGTTTCGGGATGACAAGCCTGACAACGCGACACTCTTAAATTTGGCACTCCATGGATCCTCCTATTTGGGCTACCATTTTTCAAGAAATGTGAATACTTTTTTAAATCGTCTAGTTCCAGTCTGAAGGTTATTTTTTTCACTAGTTATCAAAATATAGATATTTTTAATTACTAAACAGCACCAATTTCATTCAGTAACACTAAGACAATAAAACATATTCAGTTTCCTAAACTACTTATCACAATGTATTTCCCTTAGAGAGTGTGTAACTAATATCAAATCTTCTCAAATGTAAAAAAAATCTGCAACAAAATAAATTATATTATATTTTGGTATTCCAACCCTTAACCCCTTCCATGTTACACCACTGATCACATATGTCAAATAGTAAATTCTTTGGATTTGACCATGAAAAATTGCAGTTTACTTGAAAAATCAATGAATATCGAATATTTACACATTTTTTTTGAAAGTAATAAATGCTACTGTAATACGAATAAGACTAGTTTTAGCTTCATTTTTATAAAACAAAATCAAACGCACTCAACAATCTACAATTTTTTTCCTATCTAGGCACTTGAAAAATGCAACGAAAGTTGATAATTACAACAACTAAAGGTTTGATGGATCATACAAAACAGTAATATTGAGGTAAAAACTGTTTATTTCGGCAAAAACTTACATTTTTCGCGAAAAATGACACCACCCCGATACGGATTTGACACTTCAAATACTAACCAACAGATGTCTGTCGCATATCGTATACATATTAACCAACCTATTAAACACAAAATAACTACGTACAATTTAAATTTTCCCGTCATTTCGCATACACATAAAACAAGAATACTACTGTACTACGGTACACGTGGTAAAAAGCATAATCAATAACAGTGTTATTGTGCAACTACAGTTGCACTAGCTGACTATCGTCGATAATTGTTAAAATTTTGGAAAAATAAAAAACATTTTGATTAATTGAAAAAAAGGGTACGAAGAAGAAGAAGAAGCAATTTTAACCTATAATTTAATAGTGATAAAAATGTAAAATACTTTGTTGATTTTAGTCCCACTTCAAGTTATTTATTTAGTTAAAAACATGTAAGAAAAATGCATATCTAATCATAACGTAATTTTTAAACGTCTGATCTTCGAATATAAAAATGTGTTTTATAAAATATTGCCATGAATTATTTTGCAACAAATTACACCACAGAACCAGTTTCAACGACAGAAAGATCTTTTGAGGCTGACGACAGCAAATATCTCATAATTCCTCTAGTTGTTATTGTTCTAGTAATGATACTTTCAGTTTTGGTAAGCAAGGTGGAATTTAAGAAACTAAAATTTAGTCGTGTCATCTTATAGGTTTATCTCATGGCTAGAAGAAGAAAAATGAATAGATTGAGGAATGACATGCTTAAACTGTACGACTTTGATTCAAATGAACAGGAGTGGGAATGCCTAACCAGTAGTGAATATCCTTGTTATAGTAATGGTTTAATAACGACAAATTTTTAGTTATATTTTAGTTATCTATTTTTGTTTGCATGTATAAAGTATTATTTTAAATAAAAAAATAATACCTTGGCTTACTTTTTTTATAAACTGAATACATAACTAGGTATATGTTTTACAAGTTTGTTATGTACTTACCATGAATATGTATTTATCAGCTTAATAGGATGATAAAAATAATATGTATCACTTAAAAGACCAAGGCAGAAATATTTATTGATTGATAGCTAATCAACACATTTTACGTTATATTTAAAATTATCGCAATAATGTGAAATGTAATCTGTGATGAACCGAGCGTTTTGTTTTTCAAAATAAAGTGGTAGGTTAAAATGTCTGATCTGAAGTTATTTATTTGTGGTAGTTATAAAACTCAACTAGACCTACCGTTGTACTTAGATCATAGATCAAATGCTCAAGACCTAGCGAGTAGACGTTAGATCTACTTTCCTTTATCCTTCGGTCATTTGATTTTATTGATTAGTAATATTAAGGGTTTTTTGGCGAGCCAAACCACATCAAACCCGGTTAGCTCGAGTTTGATTGTGTTAAGAGTTTGAGTTAACATTTGACAGAACTCGCAAAAATTCTTTTAGTTTGGATATCTAATCAATAATAAAATTACCGTAACCTATAATCTATGATAGTGCTCGTAGCTCAAGTTGTTTGATTATTTCTTATATACTACAATTGTTATTCCTAATCTGAAATGCACATCCCTGAAATAACGTTAATGTATAGACGGTTATTAAATCAAAATGGGTTTACCTTTTCACAAATAACTATTCCCACGTAAATGTATCGTCTAAAAGGAAGTTAATAAAGATCTATACAGTGCAATATAGAATATGCATATCTACGATTAAAGTTATTTGGATCCTCGATTACTATTTTTTTATTATCAATTTTAAATATTACTTTGTATTTTTTGCAAAGTTAATCCATTATCAAATTTTTTTATTTACAACTTATACCTATCCAAACCTCTAAAAAAAACGAAGTAGTGACTAGGTACGATGGTACGAAACAGAAAATAAATAAACAAAGATAGAAATATTAACTTAATATCCAAACCAACCCACAAGTCCGGTTTGATGGTTAGGCAAACTCTGCCAAACCGGGTTAACTACATTTCTCGCCAAAACGTCTAACCTCAACAAACTATAGTTAACCGGGTTAGCGGTTTTCTCGCCAAAAAACCCTTATTATAATAGCACAGAGGATCCTGTAGTTAGGATATTCTGTGATATTACTGATATTAGTATACTGTGTGTCGGACAAAGAAAATAGATGGCACTGTTGTTTTACAGAATGTTGATATTCGGTTTTGTTTTGTTTACATATTAATTGAAATATTGTAATAACATAATCAACGTTTATGTAATTAATTGAAATACCTATTAGTTCTATACAACATTTGTGCTAGTGCTGTAATTATTTAATTAAATTATTATTCATATTCACTGTGGTTATATTGACTTGGGAATTAAAAAAAATGTTAATATGTAAATAATACAGAAAGCATAGGTACTGTACACCTAGAAAGGAAGGAATATATAAGTTAATAATGGGCATAAAGCATTTGTGGACAATTTTGACACCATTCTGTGAAAGAAAGCCATTATACGAATTGCAGCGTAAGACTGTTGCTGTAGATTTATCCTGTTGGATATGCGAAGCCCAAAATGTAGCTGAATACCAAGTACAACCTCGCATGTATTTGAGGTTATATTGATATAAAATTGTTTGTATCTAAAATTATAATTAATAATTCCACAGAAACCTATACTTCAGAACATGCTACCTTTTGTTGATGGAAGTAAATCCGGTGTTCGTCTTAGAGGGAAAAGCTCCTGAGCTGAAATATCAAACTATTGCGGCAAGAAATGATATTCAATTTAAGGGAGCAAAACCTAAAACGGGTGGAGTTAAGACAGGAAAGGATAGAACCAGGTTTCATTTCGTTCTAAAACAGTGTGAGGAAATGCTGAACTACATGGGACTAGTGTGTATAAAGGGAAAAGGTGAAGCGGAAAGCTTATGTGCCTATTTAAATGTCGAAGGGGTAAGTTTGCAAACACTTTAGAATTAATTTTTATTTTTTCTCTCGCTTAGTTAGTTGATGGTATAATCTCTCAAGATTCCGACTGCTTTGCCTACGGTGCAAAAGTCGTATACAGAAACTTTTCCATTTCAACTCAAGGGGGTTATGCTTCCAGCGGAGGAGCTGTCGATATATACGATATTACCAAGGCTTACAAAAGCTTAAGTAGGTTTGTATCAGTTACAACCTCGTTCTCTTTAGTTTTTAACATGTTTTTCTAGATTTTGGGCGTAATAAAATAATTGCAATGGCTTTGCTCTGTGGTAGTGACTACAGTGAAGGAGTTTTGGGGGTCGGAAAGGAGTCTGTGATGAAATTATTTGAAAAATTGTCCGACGAAGAAACCTTAGACAGATTGAGGTCTTGGAGACTGAATTCAGATATGTATGAGGAATTTGAGAACAAGATTTCTGATAAAAATATGTGCACTTCTTGTGGGCATAATGGAAAACTTCACAGGCATACAAAAAATGGTTGGTAAGCATTATTGCCTTTCAGTCTATAGTAGGAATTAACTATGTATCTTTAATTCTCTAATACACAAGGTGTTTTGAAAAAGAGGTTCCAGAAATACGCACTTTGCCACAATAAAAACAGTTTTAAAACTAAATAGCCAGACCGTATAAAATTTTTTTTTTCTAAAATGTTGCTGGAAAATGTACCTAACGACCTCTGGCATTGAAAATTAATTACATTAATTTAATATTCTCAAAAAACCAAAGTTGTGATGCCGTACATCCATAAGCAAAAGATTCTATCGACTTTTAATATTTTTCAACTAATATTTATGGTATACCTTTTTCCAAAACACAGTGTATAAAAAAACACGATTTTCTTAAGGCTGTAATTCCTGCGGTACTACCAAGGGTTGTGACCCCTTCAAGTTTAAAGATGAACGATTAAGTATAAAGAATGAAATAAACATGCGGAATAAAGCTTTACAAGATTCCTCCTTTCCGAATGAGACTTTGATCAAAGAATTTTTGGAAAAAAAAGACAATGTATCACAATTGAATCTAAAATGGAAACAACCAAACGTGGTGAATTTTATTGTAAGACTGGAAAACGAAAAAGCGTATCTTGTTTTGATATTTGCGTCTTTGTAGAGATTTACAGCAAAGTTTTTGCAATGGGAGGAGATTTATTCATTTGAAAAAATCATACCCATATTAACAAGATGGCAATGTCTAAATTACGAGATAATTGAGAGGCAAACGGGTATAATGGGCATATTGTATCCCGATCAAATTAAAAAAACCAGAAATCCGAAAGGTGAGTTTTTCAAGCGAAAATTCCTTGTAGCGTTTTTATTTAACATAAAAACTTCCGTTTCAGGCATACCGAGCTACGAAATAATCTGGTCAGATCCTGAGGAATACTTTAAGAACCTAATTCCGGAGGAGCAACTTATGCAGCCCAACATAGATTTGGAGAAACTGTGGTCAACGGTAGAACCCCAAAATCTGGTGGATAAAGCTTACCCAAAGTTAGTCGAGATTTATAAACAGTCCAAAATTAAACCCAAGAAAGTGAGCAAAAGGAAAAAGAAAGACGTAAACATTGACCAAATCACGGATATGATGACGAGTACATCGATTTCTGAGCCAAAACTTAAGAAGTCGAGAAAGAAAAAAGAGTTGGGAGGTACGAACGAGGATCCTAAGAAATCTAAAGCGAAAGTCTCGAAAGCTACGGCTTTGGATAATTTCCTTAAAACGGCCGTTGTAAACAGTCATAAAATTAAAAGTGATGCCTTAAAAACTCAAAAAGGTGACATATACAAAACATCAACACCTACAAAACTGAAACAAAGTATCTCGTTCGATTTAGACGTATCAAAGTTTGGAGATGAAGACGATTTGGAGGTTTCGGACATTATAGAAGATATTATTTCGAAAAAACCCAAATACATCGAAGAGAACATCGGAAAAATCAAATTGGATGAGTTTGAGGACGATGTAATTAGAGATGACGTAAATTCGTCAAGTTTTTTTATGACAAATCCAATTGAGAATGATTTGTTTGAAAAGACCTTTAATGACAAAGACGAAAGTGGAGATGATACTGTAGAGTACGACTTAGATGAATTTATAGATGAAGATGACGACAAGGAAAATAAGCCGTCTGAACCCGAAAAGGAAAAAAATTGTTCAAGCGAGGAGGACGACAGTTTTTGTGATAAGTATGTACCGCTGTATGAACGTTTGAAGAAAAAATGAGTTTAAAATAAAAGTCATTATTTACATTTTACATATATATTCACAAATTTTTTCCATAATTCACAAATACAATAATTTTTGTACGAAAATAAATATTTAAAGAAAAATATAAAGTTAACTAAATTTACACCCTTTCAATTGTTTCTTTACGTTGTGCGAGGCATATCCACAAAGCTTTTCAACAAAGTTGGCAACACTGCATTCAAGGCCACGCCCACGGTGTGGGTAGTAGAACGCATGCTCATTTTTTGTCGTGGTCAGTTGAGAACTGTTGTTGTAGTGGCATATTGAAAAAATGACTGCCGCTATTCCAAATCCCGCCGACTGCGAGGTGAGGAATGTAATCCTCACGTTCTCACGGTTTCGTCTGCAAAGGGTGCTGTTCCAGATTTTTAACAAAAATCAAAACTGTTTATGGGGATAGTGTGATGAATCGTACTAATGTGTACAAGTGGTGTCGTGAGTATAAAGCTGGCTTGAACAAATGTTTATGATGTGTGCATCTCTCAATAGTGATTGATGAGATGGTGAACAAGATCAAAGAAATGCTTTGTGGAGACAGTCGATTGTCTTTGGATGAGGTGAACGCAGTGTTTCCACAAATCTCCAGATCACTTCTGCATGAAATTATTACTGAAACAATTGATTTTCGAAAATTGTGTGCAAGGTACTAAAAGAGATCACAGATCAACACAAAGCCAACAGAATCACATCCATGGGAATTTCTTGAGCGCTGCAAACTGGAAAATGTCTAACTGCATTGTGATTGGCGATAAAACATTTGTGACCTACTACACCCCCGAGACGAAACGACAATCAATGCGGTGGTAACATCCGTCTCCACCATTAGCGGAAAAATTCGAAACTGTTTTTTGGGCCCGAAAAATCATAGCAGCTGTGTTTTGGGACTGCAAAGGGATTCCCTTCATTGACTTTTTGCCCTAGGGGGAACAGTTAATGCTACGCGATACTGTGAAACCCTGAAAACGTTACGGAGAATGATACAGAACAAAAGAAGGGAAATGTTAACAAAGGGAGTGTGCTTGTTGCATGACAATGCGTCGCCACACAGCCAATGCCACAAAGCAATCCTTGGGATCATTCAGTGGGAACATCAACCATCCCGCTCACAGCCCTGATCTGGCACCTTCTGATTTTCATCTTTTCTCTGAAGGTGTTTATGGGTGAAAACAAGTTTTCTACTGATGACAAGATTCACAGTGCCGCGAAACAATGGGCCCAAGAGGCGGAGGGATATTTTTTTGACGACGGTATCAGAAAGCTCATCCCTCTCGTATAAACTTTGTAAAGCTTTAAAATGTAAAATACAAAAAGAAATAATATTAAAATTCTTTTTTTCTAGTTCCGTTTCAATGAATAATATAAACATATATCCCTTAATAAAACGTGAAACTCATAAATACTGTCGTATCCAAATTAATATTTATATACTTCGAGCATTATCATGCTAAATATTAACTATAAAAATTACGTAACGGAGTTATTTACATAGGTGGTAGGTGTATCTAATTGTGCCTCTTTATTAAAATGTCAAGCGGGATTTTTTGGAACGGGCTCCGCATCAGCGTTGCTGTGTTGTTTCATGTGTTGCTGGAGCCGGTACCCTTTATAACAAGCGTACGAACAGGTCGGGCACTGGAAGGGCTTGTAACCTGCAAATGGATAAAAAATTTACAACTTTTGTTAAGAGAATGTTTAAATACTGTTAACAAATTTTTCTATAGACGATAAAATAATTAATCTGAGAACATTAACGTCGAATCGACAAAATAAAAGTTCATGTTACATGCGCTTATTTTAAACTTTCCTTGATGAAGTTTGAGGTGCTCCTTTAAAAGGTTGTTTGTTTTGAAGCGTTTATCACAGTAAGGGCACTCAAATGGCCTCTCATCGCTGTGGCTAGCCATATGTTCCGACAAATGACTTCTTTGGGCAAAAGTCCTTCCACAGTCCGTACACAAGAACGGTTTCTCACCTAGAAAGTGAAAACAGAATTTGTTATGCTCAATTAGTGTTGTTAAATCTCATTAAATTAGCCCAGAAGTCAGAGACTTGTGTGGAAGAGGGGTAGCATATTATTATTCGGTAGGCTGCATGTGTGCCCAAGAACCACTTATGTATGTAAGACCTAACCACCATTCTGTGCAGAAATGTGGGAAACCTGTAAAACCTCAAACGTCGACTGGTATCAATCTCGCACATTGACCCAAGCCAACATTCTTTCATCCTATCATATCCGCAGGGAAGATGCTTAATTCTTGTTTACTTGTTTACATTTCGATTTATGATAAATTTTACGATTTTATTTTAAATAAAATACAGTATATCGACAACTGTACTAAAACAGAAACTGAAAGAGATGAACAATCTTGGCATTATTATTTCCATAAAAATATTTGTCACAATCGCTATAAGCTCCGCCCGCAAAAATTCCCCATACCAATTGCAACAACCGGGTCACTAATGCCCATGGTTGCGAATATATACGGTTTGAGCAGCCTAATCCAATTTAACTATTCAAGCGAATTAATCCGTCTGGAGCAGTTTGAGCCCTATAAATTTTTAGCGAATAAATATGTGAAAGGGTTAAATCTATACATGTATGTATCATTTTTTGCAAATGTAAGTTTTTTCTCCAAAATTTTATTTGTTTAAAAAAAAACACTAATAGAACTTCTACTGCTTTACCTTCTTCTAATTTAATGTTTGTACTTTTATCTGGATTTAAACATATTTCTTCTCATTTCTCATTTGAACAGGGTCGTTTTCCATATTAACTAAAATTTATTTATTAAAAGATTTAAGCAAAATGTAATATGTATTTCGGTATATATTTTTTTATCGTTTTAATCAAAAAAGAGGTACACAACATATGTGAACATTTTCATAATTTTAGTCCTCTGAAACTTTCAAAAATTTCCAAATTTCAATTTAAAATTTCACGTCCTCACAACACTAGTAGGATCGTATTCGATGCAAAGTAGAGCAAAAAATTGTTGGTCTTTTATCAAAGGAAAATCATGTCATCGTTTTTAGGACGCGTAAGATTTCAAATTTAAAATGAAATTGAATGTAAAATCTGAAATACTGCATCATACACATTGTGTTCTGATAATAGCTGTCAGTCGCCCAGGTGCATCGAGCGTACAAAGTGGTCGGTTATACGTCAAATACTAACCTAGCGAGCTTGGTCGTAAATCAGAGACTGCCTCCAAAAAACAAGTAAATAACAGTGGCGCGTACAGAGGTTAAATGTAGTACATATGTGGAATGTGGAAAACAAATTGGATTTATAATAAATTACATTTAAAATAAATAGTTTATGAGAATAAAGGAATTTTTGTAGGAACAGGGGTGCCAGACGTGAACTGATCCCTTCGTCCCTTCATAATGCATAAAGAAATTAAACAATTTCTAAACCCTTTAAAACCGTACTGCACTGGATCCCTTGACAGGCAGTGATTTATTACTTTGCATTGAATACTATACACTCAATACACTATATATACACTAAAATTTCAAACTTATACATTCACACCAAAATTACACTTACCCTTGTGTTTGCTTAGGTGAAGCTTGAGTTCCGATTTTCTACAAAACGTCTTGCTGCAGAGGTTGCACACCTCGGGCCTCCCGGTGTGTTGTCTCATATGTGTTCTGAGTGCAGACGATTGCGACAGACCCTAAAGTAAGAAAAATGTTTATAAATTTTAATCTCAATCACAAAATGCCAATAATTCTTTTGTTTTTTTTTTAACAAAATTGAACTTACTTTTCCACAAATGTTGCAGATGTAAGGCTTCTCCTTGGTATGAGTCCGTTCGTGATCCTTAAGCCTAGATCTAGTCAGAGTTCTTCGCTCGCAATATTTACATTTGTACGGTAGTTGACCGGTATGTGTTCTAGTATGTATCTTCAGTTTATAAGAATTGCTAAAACAATGTTTAATTTTAGTAAAATCAATTATTATATTCAAAAAGTTGTGTTTGTGACGAAATTTGAAAACATAAACTCATGAGTTTCTAAAAAAGTAGGCTCCATAGTAATATTTATATTAAAAATTGTAAATATGACTTGCAATCACAATTACACCCGGTACAAATAAGGTTAAACTTGAAAAACCAAAAAATTTATGAACATACTTGGGAAAACAATCAATTAGAATAAGTTATTATTTTGTTATCTGAAATTGTGTGTCTAATTATTATTTAAATTTTGATCGGTGGCAAATACAGACGAAACAGGTAAAAATTCTGTCTATGAATGTAAATACACATTATTTGAAATTGTAAACTGTTACATTGTTCAATTTTAGTAAAAAAAAAGAATTGTTTTGAAGTTGAAAGTATAAACACTTTCAAAATTTGTATTTATTTACTCCTCATTGTGAGATCTGAAAGCAGGAAAATTAAGTTTTAAAAAAACAACCCAAACTAGTACTTGTGGCGAAATGGTTTATTTGCAAATTTTGTATTTTATCTTTTAATTTAGCGCATAGCAAATTATTCAAAAAGAGAAAAACTAAAAGAAGGATTATTTAAAAATAGGCACAGTTCTTACCTAAATATTTTCTCACAAAATTCACATTTGATTTTTTTCACTACTCTTTGTTCCTTTACTAAACTATGAAATTTTTTGATGTGTTGCTTCAAACTCTTTACTCGTTTATTGCAGTCCTTGCAAAAGTTTTGTAAATCAGCAGAACTAAAAAGAGAGATAATTCAATAATTTTTAAAAAATTTAGCAGATTTATAATTTTTTCAAGTCTTTGCAAACACTGCAGCTTACCCAACTACCTCAACTCCCTTAATGATAATAGTTTCCACAGGTCCGATTTCAGTTTCGGTTGCAGCGTCACGATTTGCCCACATATCCTTTCTTAAAACTTTTAAATTAACCACACACTCATGTTCTTCGAGATCTTTCTCCGTTTTGTAACGTTTTTTACATAAATCACAAGCATGTTTACCGTGGGTACCCAAGTGGTACCTTAAAGAACTTAATTGTATGAACCCTCTAGAACAATTCGGGCAGATGTATGGCTTCTCGTTTGTATGGATCCGGGAATGTTTTGTTAGCCACGCCGCAGACTTGAATGTCTTATTGCACTCTTTACATTCGAAAGTGCCTAAAAATATTTTTTACTCTAATTTAAAGATGTTAATCTTTTAAAAAAATACGAGAGATGCGAGACTTACCTGAATGACTTCGTAAATGTTCGATATAATGGGGTACAGTGACTTTTTTCGTGCAAAATGGACATTGGTACCTGCTGCTATGGCTTTTCTTATGCTTTTCGTAGTTTTCAAATACATCGTTACATTCCAAACACCAATTGTTTTTTATATCTCTGAAATAAAAATTATATAGGTATTTTTCAGAAGAAACAAATTTCTATGTTCAATTAATACTGAAAACCAAAGCTTTTATAAGTACTTACTTATGAAAAATTGCCATATGCGATGAAATAGATCTTCTGTTTGCTGCAATAAATCCACATATGATACACGTTTCATTTTTTGATAATCTACTTTTGAACTCTTCTATAACACGCTCCACTTCATCAGGATCGATAATTTTAATTTTAGAAACGTCTCTGTGTTGGATCCTGTTTTCTGTTTTCGATTTTGCACTCTCTTCCGTATTTACGTCTTCCTCTTCATATAATTCTTTAACATGTTCATCGTCAAAATCTATCAACTGCATGATATTCCTCAATATATATTGTACAATAATAGACAAAATCAGTATTACTTACTTGTAATTTTCTCGATATTTTATTATATTCCTCAAGAATCATTAAACTTTTCTGTACACTATGATAAAAATCACTGCATAAATTTAATTTTGTATCGCATGTACAACACAAGAAATTAGGGCATTTCTCGAATTCATTAAGCTAAAAAATAAAATGGATTATTTTGACTTGGGGGAAAGAAAAAATCTAACCTTAACGTTAAACAAATTTGTAAACAACTCTTGTCTTTCTTTATTTTCTGTTAAATTAAGCATATCTTCACTTTTCTCTAAACATGCTATGCAGAATTCGTTTATATCTTCTTTAACTAATTCGTTCACATTCATTATCTTTTTATAAAATAAAAACAGATACAAACTTTAAAAAAATGTTGCTGACAGACAGATGTAATTCATTAACCTATAAATCAATTTGACATTTGAAATTAGACATTTGAGGTCAGAGACAATAGATTTTGAGGTTATACCTTTAAACTGAGGTTAATGTTTTTGATGTATTCATTTGTGTAAATCTTATAGGTACCCAAAATATATTGTAATGATATTTTTCTTATCAACGGGTTGATTTTGATTATGTCCTATTGTTAGTTTCGTTATAAACTGCGAACTTAATAATAAATACGATGGAAGAAAAGTTATAAATGTAAAGGAACAATGAATTCCTCGGAAGAACAAGTTGTTACTTTGAGCGAGATTTGCCGGGTATGTCTAATAAAAACTGATAACATGAGACACTTATTAGAGCCAAGTGACGAAGTAATACAAACGTTAACAAAATTGTCATCAGTTTCTAATGTTGAGGTTAGTTTTTGAAACGACGGTATGTATAATCCTGCTTGTTACATTGATTGTTTTTAGATTGAAATTAATGAAATTCTACCTTGCTTTCTATGTAATAGTTGTGAAGAAAAACTGAAAATTTCATATGAATTCCAACAGTTATGTCAAAAATCACATAACTTTATTTTAAATTGTCTTTCGACAAGTTCTGTAAGTTGCAAGGTAAATTCATTTAAACCTCTTCAATTTGAAAATAACTCGGGAAAGTCTGGCATACAATCAGTAGATAACAATTCAGACGGTTTCATCAGTTTCATTGACAGTGACGGACTTGCAAAAAAGGCATTAATATCTTATTATTCAGTACCTGATATAGACTTAAGTACCCACAATGATAATGGTACACTAAAAGAGAATCCAGAAAGTGAATTAAAAAATTGGGCACAAGTAGTAGTAATTGAAAATGTCAAAGATGGCGACAATGATAACAGTGGTGCACAGAGAGAGAATTCAGAAAATGCATTGGAAAGTTCCACACGAAATGTTAATGAAAACGTTGAAGGTGATGGTTTGGTAGAAAGGAATTCAGACAATGCAACGGAAAATATAGAAGTTAAGAAAATCGTAGTGATACATGAAAACAATAAAAAGCCTGCTGAAGTGGAAAAGAGAACTAAATATAACCAAACAATGAGACTATCACAGTTTTCGCGGGAAGATGTAGAGAAGATCATTGAAGAATTTAGAGAAAAATGTATGAAGCACGTTAACTGTAAGCATTGTGGTTTTATAGCGAAAGATTCTAGAGCCCTTTCTGCACACATGACACGACTGCACAAGTAAGTAATTACTTAATATCTTTGCCTTGATAATAGTACACATTTTTTTTAAGAGAAATGAAGGAGCATTGGTGTTTTTGGTGTAACGATAATTTCGATAACCTACAAGAGCACAACCGAACTGTTCACAAAGACAATTTTAAATGTCCTCTGTGCGGTAAATACAAAACCAATACTGGTCACTTCATGGAGCATTTAGCTAGTCACTGTAGTATGTATTATATGCACCGTTAAAAAATATGGTTCATTGATGATTTTTTTAGCCGAACGGAGGCATATTTGTACAGTGTGTTGTAAATGTTTTATTTCACAGAGGCACTTACGAATGCACCTCAAAATCCATACAAACCAAAAGCCGTACCGATGTCCGGTTTGTTCGAAGGTCTTTACGTTGATCACAAAGTTCAATAATCATTTAAAAATTCATAAAAGTCATAAGTGTAAGGTATGTGAAGAACGTTTCCCAACCTTAGAGGAGTACAACGTACACAAATGTTTCGCGAAGAGGGAGTCCGAAAAGGATATCGTTAACACTGCAGTCGAGGAGTTAGCGGAGTCTAAACAGACAAGGTATGTTTTTTTTATGTTGTCGAGTATTACTAGGACTGTGAACTAATTTTTAGGGATTTCTTTGTAAATTCAAGGCCTTATTGTGAAAAATTGTGTACATTATTATTTTCCAAATTATGGTCCATTGCTAGCCACTACTTTTCCCCATTTTTCTGGCACCATACGGATTCTGTTTCAAAAGAACAACTAATCTTTTGATCTTTTTCACCGATCAATCCAATTTCGTATCTTTATAAGACTGGAAGCACTGCTTAGCCATTCCATGTTCTATGGATCGGAATAAGTAGTAATCCGATGGAGCAATATCTGGTGAATATGGCGGATGGGGTGGGACATACTATTTCAGCTTTTCTAAGTATTTTTTGACTTCATCAGTAATAAATATGTGGTCTAGCATGTTTGAAAATTACTTTCCTTCAATGGACGGTTCGAACACATCAGTTGTGTTAGGTAGCGTTCACCAGGCTGGTCCCATCAAATACAGAGTGTGAGCTTCGAACCATTAATATTCAACCTTGCCGTCAATGTTGACGACCGGGAAACCCCACGATTTTCTACGCTTAGGATTATCATAGCATATCCATTCTTCATAGCCAGTGGTGATACGATGCAAAAAAAGCCTTATTTTTGTCGTTGAAGTAATTATTCACACATGAAAAATTGTCATTCAACATCTCTCGCCTTCAATTCGTATGGCACTCTATTTCCTTGCTTTTGAATCATACCGAAAGCATTTAAACGTTTGGAAATTGTTGTGCGATCAATATTCAACGATTCAGCAAGTTCATCTTGCGTTTGGCATGAATTTTGGTCGAGTAATGCTTCCAATTCGCCATCTTGGGACTTTTTCAGTTCTTTGTCAATTGTATCATAATCAACCTTCTAAAACGTTAAGACCAATATTCACAGGTCTTTATCAATCAATGCAGTGTGGTTACCGTAACTTTCCAACAACACTCGATGGCTTTCAGCACCATTTTGTGTGAATTAAACAGGAAAAGTAAAACCCCACAAATGGTGTTCTGTTGATTCGTAAAGCCTAATAGCAGAGGGATGAATATAGTTACAGAAGTGTCTAATGGGATATAGCTTAAGTTACGCCATCTATTGTAAATCCCTCAAAATTTGTTCAGTGCCAGTATAATTCAACTTATATTTTATCATAACTTCAAAATCAGCCTTTTCAAAAGCTCGAAATATTAAATTTATCACTTTTTGAAATTGGTACATATTTCAATTTTTACTTTAGTGAGAAGATGCCGCAGAATTTTTGCGAAACTTGCAATAAGAGAGTCAGAAGTCTCCAGAAACATATCGCAAGCGTTCACTCCGATTCTGTTGATGTAAAAGATAATAAAATATTAAGGGCTCTTTGTCCTTACTGTGGAAAACAATTTGTGTAAGAATTTGTTATTAACTATTTATTATATGAAATGTTACTTCTAATTGTTCATAGGACTGTTGCAAAATTGACTGTACATATAAGGTATCACACTGGAGAAATGCCTTATAAGTGTTCGTACTGTGATAAAAGGGTGAGAACAAGGATCCAACTAGTAATGCACGAGAGAACCCATACTGGCGAAAGGCCTTATAAATGTAAATTCTGTGGGAAGGTAACATATATTTTTTAATATATCGAAGTTATGCTTTCTATCAATCGAGTAAGCTGCTATTGCTCACTGTTGTTCGTTAAAACTAATATTTTAGGCTTTCGCCCAGTCCAGTGGTCTGAAAACCCATTTGAAACGGCATACGGGTAGGCCAGAGGAGTGCTTTATGTGCCATAAAAGGTTCTGTAGACCGTCGGAACTGAAACTACATATGAGGACACATACAGGTAAAAAATTCATTAGTGTTTTAGAAATATCAGTAAATATTCCTCATGCCTTTTAGGGGAAAAGCCCTTCGAATGCAAGATTTGTGGCCAACGATTCACTCAGCAAAGTCGTCTAACGGAGCACAGCAGAAACCACACTAACGAAAGACCTTACAAATGTGATTATTGTGATAAAAGCTTCAAACAGTCTTCTACCCTGCGATATCATACTAATATGCATTTAGGTAAGTAGCATTGAGATCCACTACATTTAAGTTTAGAGATTTTTACTTATTTGAATTTTTTCTAACTTTAGGTGCATGTAAAGGGTGTTATTTTAATCCCAAGGATCTGCGATAGTTCTTTATATAGGTAGAACTTTGATAGGAGTCATGTCTAAGAAAGAAGGCTACCTTTGACTTTTAAAACATGTTATAAGTGTCTTTTCTTAAATTCCGTCATAAAAACTAACTTCTTTATTTCTTTTTTTCTAAATTTTCATACTTTGCCACTAGACAGGTTAGTATAACCTCAAAAAATAGCGCCCTCTAACTGTGAGTACAAGCTGCAGCTTGCATTGTTGTCAAATCTCACTTTTCTTGATTGATATACATGTTTCCATATCATACAGAAAAACAATGAAGATACAAACACAACATATTAAAAAACTAATAATTCACACAGAAAGGGTGCCTAATTCTTTTCTATGGTCTTACGGCCGCATAGATCAAACCCACTACAGTAGCATTCATCGATTCAAGTATTTAGTCCTGAAACCGCTCAACCACCGACCAAACAAAGATGTTCCTACAAAATTATTTTCCATTGCAGTTTCACTTTCATTCACTCCATTAGTTCGTTACAGTCAGCTTAGACGGGTAACAACAAGTAACACTGTTAAACCATGTACATGCAACCGATTTTGGGAGTTGCCCAGTGATGCTGTAGACAGAAGTTTAAGTGCAGTTTAGAAAGTGATTTACAACTTGACTATTTATTCTATCCCCAAAAAAATATATTTCGGATTAATATTCTAGTGAACACACACTGTTACCCCATTTTATAAATATTTTCATTGCTAATTGAATAATACCAAAATGCAGGTTTTCAAAAACTGAAAGTTTTAGGGAAATACTCGTATATTATTAACAATTTAACAAGCATCTTTTACTTTAATTGATAAAAGTGATTTAACAACTGACTAAGATTCGCAAAAATAATACTAAAAACAACCAATCACATATACATATTGGTATAAATTGAAAAAAGTATGTTATTACGTATTATATGTTATCAAATTACTTACACTAGATATTTTTCATTGTTAGGTAGGAAACCCTACAAATGCTCTCAGTGCCCATACGAGAGCCGTCAGAGTCATAATCTGAAGCAGCACTTATTGCAGCACGAGAAGGAACCTAAGGTTGAAAGAATCCACGAATGCGACATATGTTGTCAGAGTTTTATAAATCTCGAAATGTATTCGTTACATTACGCTAACAAACATGGGTCTATAGTAGCAGCAGGCTTTGCTAAGGAAGATCTAATAGAACCGTCAACTGTAGAAGTTATAGACCATTTACACGAATTTACCTAAAATGAAGTAAACTTACTTCATTTATTGTATATGTGCACTATTGTTAGAAAAACTATTTTTTTGTAATAAAAATTTTTTTAAAATACAATAATTGTTTTGTCTGTTGTGTTTCACATGGTATTACTTTTTATGTTAAAAATTGTCATGATTTTTGTTTAAAAGCTTGCTGATGCTAAAAAATTAACGGTTTACAATTTTGAGGTTATTTTATTTCAATTGACCTACTAAAATACTTCTCCATTAAAAAAGATAAGAGGGATCAACATCCGGGTTCGGAATAGATCAGATTGTTAGACAAAAGACTAAATTGGCCAGAACAATAAAAAATGTATGTTTAAGCTTCAACGTTCCTGGTGGCTGGACTAGGAACTATTTTTTTTTATTGAGCAGTGATATCATAGGAAGGAATTAACATTTTTAGAGTGCTGATTATGATATAATTTAACATAAAAAAAACATAAAACACACCACAGAAATGAGACAACCCCCAAATCCAAAATCCAAAGACTTGTGCGGAAGTGGGCTACACTTGAAAAAACGCGGACAAACACCCATTATTCATCGACATTGCCAGTGCCGACACCGGGGATCGAAGCCTAGCCGAGAAATGCTTGCCACCGCACTCTCGTCCGACTGCGCTACCGTGGCGATTATCATCAGTGAGATATAGTCTGTACGATATTTGTTGAGATAGAATTATAAGACCCCTGCATCACTTTTCTTGGAATTAATCGCATTCGAGAACCGAGGTAGAAAGCCATTGGCCAGAAATTTCAAGCCACGTCCCTGCCACCCGTATTCGACATCCGAGATAGAAAGACATTGGCTGAAAATTTCAAGACACGCCCATGCCGCGGTAAATTGTTACAGTAGTTCCAATAATTTTCTTGGATTTCTGTCTCAATATGGTATGGACTCGCGCCATTATTCCATGGCTAGAAATTGACCACAATGATTTGGGATCGCCGGGGATTATCCCTCTTTATCCTGCCTCATCTCGTGTAGGCCTGGACAGCCTTCGTAGGTGGGCCCCATCCGTCGTCTACCCCGACCGCAAATGCGGCCGGTGTAGGCGCTTTGTGGGAGCTCCTTTTGTCCTGGCTAGGGCCCTTAATCATATATATTAGTAACTGACAAAAATGTTGTAGCAGCATCACCTTATTCTTAACTCAAATGGAAAACTTATTGATTTGAAAATTAAATAGACCTGTCAGAAATGCCAAAAATAACTGAAATTCATAATTAAAACGTTGCTAATTTACAATAATACGTTAATTCTTAGTAAATTGCAAAAAAATACTATAAAGCGCCGTACTATGGGTGAACTTGTCCCTATACAATTATCTAACTTTTACTAAACCATTACTCTCTTATTAATAAGTGAGGTAATGAAATTTTCCCGCCAGCTTGGGGCTTGGGTTTGTATCCTGTAATCCTGATCATAGCTGTTTTCTTTTATTCATGATTTCAGAATCATAACGCGTTACGATCCTAAATCTAGCAACCTGATTGGTTTCAATCGGATCGTAACGCGTTATGATTCCGAAATCATGAATAAAAGAAAAAGGCTCTAATATCAGAGTAGCCGTTTTCTTTTGCTCTCAACTTTGAATCATGATCACTGAATCCGGATCAAGCAAACACAAACTATAACTATAACTATAGATCCATGAATTCAATTTCGAAGAGAACAGGATTTTGTTTACTGTTGACATTTGATTTGATTTTAAATATATTGTTTAGGTACCTATTCTTCTGTGCACAATTAAAATAAAAATAGTAACTGCCTTCTTAGAGAAAAAGAAACTACCACAATGTTAAGTTTATATTAAATGTGTGATCGTGATCAAAAGTTCGAATCACAGAAAAAGATTCATAGAGGAAAGGGGATTACCGATCCTGATCATATAATCTGACATGATCCGGAAACAAGAAAACAACTACGAACATGATTTTGGGATCATAATGTGTTTAGATCCTAAAAGGGCAACCGAAAGAAAGAAGCTAATTATAAGTTTGGAACCATGCACGCGATCACAGATCCGTTGTAACCACGTGACCATCAACATCCAATTGTGCCTCAGAAAAGCGACTTGACACTCCGTCACGATCAAAACGGATTGGATGTCGATGGTCACGTGGTTACAACGATCCGTGATCACACATGCAAGTTGATCCAGACTAATTTTGATTATTTGATTATTCTGTGATAAATAGTTATACCCCAATTGTAAACTTTTTTGTTTATAGTTTGTTTAAAACAAATATAATGGTGTTTATAATTTTAACTCATGATAATTATATCGAAAAAAATAATATGTATTATGTTTCATATAAACATAAACAGAATAATCTCGTAAATATAGTATAAGTGTTCCAGTTCAATTGTAAAAGGTTTAGCGACATATTGAATCCAAGAAAAATTATTTGCAGTTTCACAGTTATTTTCAAAACATAGATAGATTTTAAATAAAAAATTGTAAGAATGCAGATTCGACAAATAAATATTTTCCATAGTTTGATTCTTATTGCAAGAACATTGCGGATATACCCAGTGCCCAATTATAAAATCCATTCAAGTGATATAGGTAGTTACAGCGAAATAATCACTCAATGAAGATTTATGAAGGTTTAATAACTGGCTGGAGATGGAGAAATTGTCGGTTAAGTTAAAGGTGAACGGTTTGTGGAAGACAATTTTACCGTTTCGAAGCAAAGTATAACGTTTTGCGACTAGAAGGAGAGAAGCGGAATTATCAATTGGACCTAATGCAACTCTGGAGATTCCCTTTAAGGTAGGTGTGGTTATCAAAAATGATAAATGCTATTGAGTTTAAAAATTAAGAGATATTACTGTTAAGAGTTCCATTCAAAATTTTTCTTTCTAAAAAAAGGAAAATTTGTTGGTATTGGTCTGTGGTATTGTTGGTTTTAGCGCCATCTAGCATTCGCACTAAAAACCAAAAAAGAAGTTTCTAATGAGCCGATTTGAAATTACGGGAAACCGAAGCATTTAAAAAATATATCTTCTGTCTCGCCTTTTCAAAACAAATACAAAAAATGTAAGGAGCAAATCATTGTGAAAAATTGATAATTAATTGAGAACAATTTGATTCAGCATATATGTTTCAATTTGGGTTTTAACTATGTATGTGAGGAATTTTTTAACGTGTAATTTGTAACAGGTAGTTACCTAACTGTGAGTAATTTTAATTTAATACGTTATTTTTCTATTTACAAAATAAAATATATATTAAAAGTTAATTTCCATTTGGACTAATTGTTAGACCAATTAACAGTGTCGGAGTATTAAAAGGAAAATCGTGATCTTACCATTTGCAGTAGCTGATTGTGCCGTGTTATCGTGTTCTTAGGCGGTCAGTAAACCTCGTGAAAGTAAATTTAGACGAGACTGTGATGGAAAAAGCATGCAAGAGGTACATTTCCTTGACTACACACGACCTCTTTGAAGTTTTATATTGCTGCAATTTTCTCTGAGCATACACAATTTCGTATTGATTAAAATCTTGAACATTAATTCCCCTGGATGTGTTTTAACTCTGTATTCGTGCGCGTTCAAGGGATGTAAATATATGTATTTGCAAATTAACATTTATTACAACAGTTTTACACAATCAATCAAAGACATTATAATGAAATTATTCATGGACGAAGAAATTGATTAATTTATTGACTTTATTAAAGATGCACAATCCAATTTTCTATTGTAGGTAACTACTTACTAGGACCAATTTTGAATAGCTATTAAGATTTATTTGATACTTTGAACTTCTAATTATTGAGCAATTACTATATTACTGTACCATCTACTTAATTTAAATTAGATGATATTGAAAATGACACGGAAATAAACTTAAAACAGTGTACGATACTTTATGTGCTCTCTGATATGTACATCTTGACTTATTTAAGACAAACGATGCATCTAATTCCTGCGCAAAGCGTCTTGCAAAACTAAAATATGTCCCTCCAATTTCCTTTCACAATTGCAGAGATATTAGAGGTAATTTTAAACGAGGTTAATAACATCGTCGTAGATATTGCCACACGATCAATTTCTTGTTGCGTACGATTGCGGCAGAGGCGTCTTCGATCGGATGGTTCTGTGCGTGGAACACTGCTTTTTGTTATTGACATAGCCACAGTATAGAAAACAGTAAATTCACTGCCTATCTAACCTATTTTTAAAAAATGGACCTTAGTTTCATTTTTTATGTCGCTTTAAGTGACTGCGCAGAGACCACGCGCAAGTAGGGGAACCTCAAAAGCTGAAAGCTGAGGTGGGTTTGTTGATGGACTAGGGGCTGGGCTTGCTATTGCGCATAGACCACGCGTCCCTTTACTGGACTTTTAGAGCAGTGGGGTTGTGGTTCACAAAAGAGGGGGAGCGAATTTACTGTTTTCTATACATGCATGGCTATCCGTTTCGCAAGTTTTTTCCCAAATATCCCCTTATAGGCGCGACGCAAGGATATTTCCTTGGGCGCGGATAACATAATTTCTCATAAGTTGATTTAATTTTTTTTAATAATTAGGTACTATACATGTTACTTAACCTAACTTAACCTAACCTGACTTGCATAAATCGTTTTTTTCTAATATACTATAACAACATACACTTAGTTTGCAGACTCCGCCCAATAAAGGTAGAGTTTAGGTCTATCTTATTTGGCGAAAAACGTGAATCTGATTTAGACATAACATAACATCAAAATATAAAAAAAATCTATTTAAAGATAAGGAAAATAAATTCTTTTTAAATGATTCCAAAAGAATCGAATTAAAATTTTCGTCGAATTTCGCCACAGTATTTTTATATTTAAAGATTTAAATTTTCAAAATACAACATTTCTAGTCTAAATCTTTCTAGTGTCATTACATTTTTGAGAAAACTGCGTGTTTTCACGTACAATAATACTTTGTTTTAAAGCAAACTATAAATTTAATAACACAGCCCCGAAAAAAAAGTGGAATATCCGAAAGACAAGATCCTGATATCTATATGTTTTTTGACCTTGAGCTGACCTTC